TAGGACGGGGGGTGGTGCGAGTTCTTGGACTTGGGATTGGGCGATGGCTAGCGGGAGGAGGGATAGGAGGGGGAGGAGTTGGGAGAGCATTTTGAGCAGTGAGGGTGTTGAGATTTGAGGGAATGGGGAGTGAGGAGATCGTTGTCGGACAGTTCATAGAGTGTTTGAAGATTATAAGTATTTCCTCGCTTACGAGCGATATGTCGTAATGCATCTCAGTAGCTTGTAGTTCCCCAGTGACATCAACACGCTCTCATCCTAATTCCTCGCTGTCCTCTAATAAAAGCCACTTCTCCTACACACCTCCTTGAGACAATCCCGGCTCAAACAGTCGTTACAATTACAGCGTGGCTCAGTCGCATCGCCAACCGCGCCGATCTCACCATCAAGGCTTGTCTCTACGTGCAGCGTGCTACTACGGATCAATCGTGCCGTCTTCTCCTCCTTCCCTCTCGGCATCATCATACAACGACAACTGACCAGAAGATCAGCAAGCCACTCCACATGGCCAACGTTACGAATGGTAAGAAAATAGCCGGTAAACGACCGCCCGGGGCGTTGGTTATTGCATTAGCGTCATCTGGGGTACATGCACCAAGAACTGGTGCCTGACATCACGTTCTGCACCATCGCTGTTCGATGGACGCGTGAGTTTGAGATGGTGGTTGGAGGGGTGATGTCAAGACTTGATGTATGCGGGATGTTAAGCGAGGGTCGTGCGCTACGTATGGTGGGAGGTAGGGAGGACTCCGCGGATGAGAGAGAGAAGATGATGCGTTGATGTTGGGGAGATGCAGGTCCAAGGATGTGAGGATGTGCAGGGGTGATGTTGGCTCGCTTGTTGTTAGAGCGGAAGATGCATAGTGGGTAGATTGAATACATGCTTGGCCATGTGGATGTAAAATGAACATACTGCCGTTGTATTCATGATGATAGGTAGAAAGTCTTGTTTGGCGTTAATGGGCTTTTTTCTTTCTTGTTTATTTCTTCCGAATTCTTGAACAAGAGCACTGGAAATCAGCAAAGAGTGATGTCTGTCACGATACTCTGAACTGAGGCCTAGGAAAGCTAACCTTCGGGGATTCATCGGGTACCCTTCGGGCCAAGGGAGTCAGTCACGTGTGTAGAGGATATATCTCATAGCAGGAAAGCATTTGATATAGTGTAGTTCTATCACCCTGAGTACCTCCTCAAGAATTCGTCTCAATTCACTCTAACTGATATATTCTGTGCATATCTGCGAAACACCTCCCACCTACCCTATCCAACCCTACCCTACCCCACTCTGGCTTTCCCGGTGGGCAGCATTGATACTAAACCAACTGTTAGTCTAGGTACTTAAAAACTGAAATAGAATATAATACCGTAACCCAGCATGGACATTTCCCAACTTCTGAAGTTTCCCCATTTGTGATGTCCGCGGCCTTCTGTCCAGGGTTACAGACGGGCGGTATTCCTGCCGAACTGCAGCCAAAAGTTTGTCCTTGGGATAAATTGCATAGCTGACTGATTTTGGTATACGGTCTATTACAGACCCTCTCAGACTCTACAACATAGGCATGCTGAAGAATAGTTCCAAATACAAAAAGAAGGTATCGTGAGTGTAGCATCTTGGAAAAATTCTTAGTAAATAGAAGATTGATAGGTGATGAATCTAATACAACTAGATGATCATTTCCGAGTTTATATAGAAAATACTCCCCGGTAAGAGTAATGACATTACAGAAAGATGGAAGGCCGCGGTGACAATGTTTGGTCTGTGTATTATCTTCTCAAGGTCTCGATTCACCCTTTCGTTACAGAAAATCCCATCAAGAGTACTTATTCTTCTAGCCTGTAAGCAATAATTATGCGCCATATTCTAAATTGTGAAACACCTCTAAGCTTACATAGTTATACTCGCCACCGTATGGCTCACAGGAAAGAATACACTAACGAGAATACAGGATCTGTTACTATAGACTTATCAGAAAGGGCTCTCGTGCTTTAGGGCAGCAGAGAGTGATTAGCAAGATGCAGCTCAAAGAGCTAGAAAACATCGGGTGTTACCCTCTTTGGTTTCGCTGGGTGTAGTGAAGAACTAAGTGGCGTTTTTGAAATTTAAACTAGTACTTTGTTAGATGCGTGTACAGCACAGTACGAGACTAATAGTACGATGTAAGATGGGCGTACGGCACAGTACGGGACGGCACAAGATAGGACAGCTGTTGCAGTCTGGAGCTCAGATCGCATGCTTTGAGTGGTAATCGCTAAAGCAGGCGGCCCGATAAACCTCTTAGTAAGCTACCAGGATCTACGAATCGAATATATAGGACGAATAATTCTCAACGGGAATTACTTATTTTCTAGCCCGTGTATGTTAAGGTTACGCTGGAAATTGCGCTAGGAATTAGCTGTTGGTATTCTAGGCCTCCATAGCCCTAGATTTCCCTGAGTCTCTTCTCTCACCATCATCATCACCCAACTCACGCCTGAAACCCCTTCTCAAACCCCCTCAACCACACACCCGCCGCATACGCCCCCGGATCGGGAATCTTCGACCTATCACTCCCATCCTCGGCAATATACGTAGCGCGCCCAAACTTTGCCTTCATATCCTTGGTCCCATCTGCCTTGTCCTCGGCAACCTGCACACTCTTGGCAAAGTCCTTGGTCTCAGCCAACGTATTAATGAACGGGATGAGGACATCCATGACCGTTCTGTCGCCTTCTCTCGCACTAGTGTAGTTCTTTAGATTCTCAAGCGCGGATAGCGCGGAAGAAGCAAATGTGGATATGTCGAGGGTAGCATTTTGTGAAAGTGTAGCTGTGGCGAGGGCGTTGGTGAATGCAGTTACGAGGATGGAGAGGATGGCGCCGAGGGAGCCGCCTACGTCTTCGACGTTTTCGCCGATGCTTTCTAGGAGCGCCAGAATGGGCGGCGGGTTTTGCTCGACGGCGTCGATGTTGGCGAGGATGCTCTTGCATACGCCTGCTACGGCTTCGCCACAGTCGCCGTCACCCATTTGGAGATCGTACTGGGTGATCTTGGGCTCGGCTGCTAAGGCGGCTTTACATGCTGTTCGCAGCGCGGGAATGAGAGAAGCTGGGGTTGCAGGGCCTTTGTGAAGTGTTGACTTTTCAGACAGCGCTGCATTGGCCTTGTTACGTAGTTCCTCTGTCTCCTTGTTGATATTGACGGGCTTGAAGCCGTTTTTCGGCCATGCTGGAGCGTTGGTCGGGGCGTCGAGCAGAGCAATGATTTCTTCGTCTTTGACACCCATGGATTTGGCCATGCCGCTCATATTGCCCAGTGTTATGCTGAAACCTTGGGCGTTGAGCGATGTCTCGAGTACACCAGCGTAGATGCGTGTTGGCTCAATGCTCCAGTCTCGTTTTAATGCTACGAGGGCGAGATTCACCATGGCATCGAATTCCAGGTTTGACAGGCCGCCGAAGTTGTTGACAAGCATTACTACGTTGTCGCTGGGGTTGAATTTGACGAAGGCGCGATCAGAATCTGAGGGGTCCAGGAGATACTTGAGCATCTCCTTGATAACGTCTTCTGGGCCAGGCATTGGGTGTATAGTTCGCAAGCCCTGCATCCTGGTCAGTATGACTTCTCTGCGAGAAAGAGAAAGGTGAACCTGTTCCGCTTACCGGCTCGTTATGAATTCCCATACCCACAACACAGGCATTGTCCTGCACGCTCTCAAACGCCTCTCTTCCAGGGACATGGCAATGATCCAGACTCGTTCCAATCGTAACCAGCTGCTCATTCCCCAGCTCACCCATCTTCCTACACCGCTCAAACGCCCAGCCCTGTAGTGATGCACCACCAATCAGCTTGATAACGAGCAAGTTACCCGCCAATCCTCTCCGTCCTACTTTCCCACTCTGAGCACGACCCAGCGCCGCGTCTTCAGCCATACAAACAACATCAACTTTGTACCCCAGCGCTTGGCCCTTTTCCCTCGCCAGCCCAAAATGCAGCATGTCGCCCGTGTAATTTGTGATACAGAGTATTGTTCCCTCTGTACTCGGTACATTCCGCATACCCGCCATAACTTGCTTCGTACTCGGCGACGCAAAGATATCTCCGCACACAGCAGCCGACAACATGCCGTCGCCCACGAAACCCGACCATGCCGGCTCGTGACCCGAGCCGCCTCCAGACACGATGCTGACTTCATTAGGTCTGTGGGATAGGTTGTAGACTACGCGGTTGGCCTCGTCGAGCGCCATGTGCTTGTTTCGTGCGCAGAGCGAGCGCAGCGTATGCAGCACGACGCCCTCTGGATTGGGGAAAAAGTGTTTCCGCGACATGATTGGGGATGTAATCGTGTGAGCTGAGATCGATAACGTCGACTTTCTTCTGTCAAGTTTCTACAGGTAGTCTTATTAGTATTGCAATTCATCCCATATTATCCGCCAATCGTACCGGTATTCTCCCAGGAAAGCGGCCCTTCTACATGTAACTTACATGTATGTACACTAAACCTCGTCACAATCCCACACTAAGAATTTCTCAGGTCCAGCGTCTCGATAAATTCTCAATCCTCAAATTAAAAAGTGAAAAAGCTGTATACAATTCGTTCTAAAAACCCCCTCCTTCCAGGAGCCATCCACACCTTTATAAACCTTCTTCCCCGCTTCCCCCCACCCCCACGACCTCCCGACCCCGCGCCCACCTCGCCGCATCTATTTGGACAATCTACGGCACAATCATCAAAAGCTTCTACGGCTATTCACACAAAAGGCCCGCAATCCCAAAGATATTCCGGCCCAACAACAGTATGAGAATGCCCAATACGTAAAAAAGGTATACTGTTTTCAGGCTAAGGTGGGTTGCATGTGGTTTGGAGCTTGGTTTGCGCCGGGATTACCGGTTTGGGAAGTACCGGAGATTGGTATAGTACTAGATAGGTGGCTTGCAGGGTCGGTCTGGGCTCCGAGGTGGACCGGAGAGGAATTGCGGCTTGTGCTCTGATGACATCGTTCGATGATTTGAGTTATCTTTTGTGGATATTAACAGCATCTTGGATATTTGTAGACTAGAATAGTTGATGGACTGATCGTGTGGTATATGTTCCTTCGCCCATGTAAATGGTCTTGCACAGCACAGTATCTTGCACAGAAATTTGCTGGCTCTGTTTCCGATAGTGGGTACCTCGAACGTATACCTGCCAGGCCCAGATGCCTAATGTATCGGTATCTATGTGACAAGCTTTCTACCGCCCACAACTGACTAGCCCAAGTTTACAACAAGCGTCCCAAAGAGACCTCAAACAGAGTGGGAGCAAAGCAATCTCAGCCACGATCCTCTAGTCAAACATGATCTTCTTGCCCTTCAACAGTGTGCCTCCCAACAGCTTGCCAATTGCGTATCCAATATAAGCGCCTGTAACGATGGTAACTGGCCACTTCTGCCACTCGCGGTCCCTGTACATCATTAGTCTTTCTGCTTCATAATTCTTATCTCGACCCGATTTCTGGTTGAACAAGTAAGTCTAGGGGGAACTCACCAGTCCAAGGGAATAGGCACAGCACCTATCCAAGCACCAAGAACCGTGCCAATCAGCCCTCCATAGACTTCATCTATCGGCAAGAGCAGCGCAATAATCTGTCTCCATGTATCGCCGTCGACACCGTGTACGTAGATCAGAGGCAGGGTGCTCAGGAGCGCCACATGAGCACCGCAGAGCAGTGTGTGTGCATGGTGCGTAGACACGGGTGCACCGAAGAGGACAAGAATGGCCGTGAGGAGCGGCGTCGCAGCGAGTGCGGACAGGAGGAGAGACAAGAAAGCCGGCTGTGACAACACGTTAGATCTTCCCCAAGAAAGACATTTCTAGCAACGCTGCCATGCTAGTACAAGACACGTACCACAATCTTCGAGTTCAATCCTTGTTCCAGCTTCGTCGGTGCCTTTCCTTTCTTCTCACCCGGCTTCTGTTTCCGCATCGAAGGCGTGCCTCCGGTCGGTGGGAGGCATATGGCTACAAAGGCTATTTGCAGCACAGCGAGCGGTGCGAGGGTACTCAGCAGCGTGGGCACGGGGTCTGCGACCAGAGCGGGAAATTTGAGCGCGTAGACGGAGAGAACGAGTATGGGATGGATGTGCGTGTATATGCGCGCTGTGTCGTTCTTCAGTGGCTCAATTGGCGCGGCGGTCGAGGCCTGGTGCTTTGATGTCGCGTTTGCGTTGATGACAGTTGTGCTGGCCATGCTTGCGAATTAAATGGGTGGTAATGAATATGCGAGTTGAGGGAATCGAAGACACGTCAATTAGAGGTGAAACAGTTTTGTGCTGGGCTTTGCAAGGAGCGTGGATGGCGCCTGGCCGACTGGGTTGTTTGTTGGTCGGGGTAGTTGCAGGAGATCGCGGAACGGAAAGTTTCGAGATGACGCTGGTGGTGCTGCTCGCTGATTGGACAAACAACCAACTCCTGTTCAGCACCTTCATGGTTCGTTCAAGACGGTAGTTACAAAACATGTGAATTGACGTTTCCACATATTTACGATTTTCAACCCATAATATAGCCATATTCTCTGTTAATACCTTATTACTGATGACCATGTCCGAAGCTTTTACGTAGGGCGTTACATACATTCTTTCCTTGCGCCATTGCTTGGACTATGTCAATACTTACTGCTGCTCTCCCTTTTTCGGAACCAAATTCCTCAATGAAAGATCATACACCACGTCCTCCACATCCTTGACGCGATACTTGAGCCCATCGCTGCGGCGGCGTAGGCTGTCATTCTTGAGGTTGAGGATCTGGAATCCAGCATGCAGGTCCTTGACGAACTGGTTGATGAGCAGTGGACGCTCGTAATCGCCCAGAGTGACAGCATTACGGGCAAGTCGTGTCTGTTGTTGTTAGCCATATACTCTTGTTCGTTTACAATGTATGCCAGACGACGTACAAGCTCCTCGACGAGGGTCATGAGGGAATGCAGATACTCCTCAAGTGAGAGGTGGAACTCATCGCGCTCCTTGAGGTTTACTGGGACTATTTGAACGTTATTAGTGTATATGTTATGTATTTTTTCTTTCTAAACGTACTCTTGAAGATTTCGCCGAGCTCCTCTATGGTTAAGAGTCGTCCGCATTGCACCGCACCGCCCTCATACTTGTAGCCGCCAAGCCAGCCCCAGAAGAGGATACTCTCGCACTACGAATTCATCAGTGGTATGAGCTGAATGCTGTGTCGACCCTGAACTTACTGCGCCTTGCATCTGGCGGCTCCACATGTTGTTGAACTTGTAGTAAGGCATCTTCGACGCAGCTTGTGAGAGCTTGGAAACAGTGTCAATTACATTGTCAATGGGCTCTTGGGCAGCTTTCAATATCTCTGACACTGTATCTTAATCAGCTAGCATATTGTAAGTCCTGGGTGCTGCGACGTACACTCGCTGACGGGCGTGGAATGGGCTCTTGATAGCACGAACGAGACATTGCGATCTGCAGGAAGTTAAATAATGTCCAAAACTCTAATTGAGAATACTCACTGTGTTTCTCAAGCGCTTGGATGATATCACGCAGCTCCTGTCGCGTTGTGAGTACGATGTCACGTGCAGCTCTGGCGAACTGCCACTCACATCTCGAACCGCAGAATCTTCGTCTATGCGCGCCTGGAGGTCCTGGAAGACGGCCGGGTTGACCATGCCTGATTGCGATGCCATTATGATGGATTTTGAGGTTTTGCAGAGGTGTTCGAGTGACGTTTGAAATTGTGGTAGTATCTAGGCAGGTCAATGTTGGTCTGGCAAGCAAACCTCGCCACGAAAATTTGGCGTCACACGCTGCTCCCTACGCAACTTCGTTTTTTTACAGATGCAGCCACCTACAGTGCATTTTGACTTACAATTTACCAGTTCTCAATAATCTACATGTCAGTTGTACTTTACTTTGAAAATCGATCAATTGTATGACTTTAGGTACAGTGTCTTTATGAAAACACGCTTTGTGATTAATGTCAAGATAGTATGTAGTAACATTGTTCTCTTGAACATGTGACAGAATGTACTGATTTTCCACAACATATTCACTTATGATATAGTAATTCACCTCTACAATATTCAAAACATATCCATCTGCGGAAAAATGTATATGTAAATGAAGAGACCTTGTATATTCTCGTACCGCAGGAAGGCTGTCGTCGGTCTCCCATTCACTTTCGACAACACACCCAATAATTGCACACCACCTGATTACTTGGGTAGTGGTAATAAGACAACTTGCTACATGCATACCAGATACTGCCTCACCTCAGCAAACACTTAACCAATATTACCCTCACACCTCCAACTGATACATCGCCCAGTTGTCCATCTGCTGGCTCTCCTGTCCATTTCTCTACCTCCCCGTATTCCTCGCGCGCACTACTCTACCACGCATAATCTTAACTCTTGCCTTCAACTTGACAAGACGTCGCTTTTTTCTCTCCGCATCGGCTTCCTTCGTACTCTCGAGATCTATCTCCAGTAACTCCTGCTCGCCCGCAGCACCACGCAAGACAGCTCCAACACGCTCCCTCGACCTGAACTCGGAGCTCAAGAAAGCTACTTCCTCGCAGAAGAAATGGAAACTTGTGACGAAAGAGTTTTCTGTATTGCATAAATCGCGCCCCTCGATGAGTGTGGCGTTGTTGTAAAGGAGGCGGGTAACCCAGTCGTTCTTTTCCTGATTGATGTCTATACGTAGCTTAGACAGTGCGAGATAAGTCGCTGGCTCGCGAACAACACCTCCATGAGTGTTCTTGACAATTGTTGTCTGGGCTGTCACGGCGTTGGTTTCAGACGACTGGGCTTTCTGTTCTTCTCGCCGGAGGCGTGGGCTGACAACGTAGGCGAAGAGTGGGCTATGAATTAGGAAACAAATTCCATCTGGTACAAGGATTAGATGTATAAAAGAAGTGATTCCGTGTTACTTACCGAGAAGTTCTTCATGGTAGTATGCCGGCAGGTCTTGTGGCAGCTTGTCGAGCAATTCCTGCAGGTGACTTCGTAACGTGATCTCCTTTGTTACGGTCGGGGATGGCGGTGGCGTTTCGAGCCCGAGTTTCACATAGCTCCTCGTCATGCGTTTCTTCGTGGAGCGATCCATGGTGTGTTTGGTAAGAGTATTACTCTTGTCCGAAACTTACGTACCAAAGGTAAATTGGAGCTTGGGAGTTGGAAATTGTTAACAAGATTTGAGCGCTGAGGGTGAGAATGGGTTCTCAAGTTTCTAAGGCTCAATTATAGAGTCCTGTTGCCTCGTTACCGTAGCATTGGATTCGTCTTCGCTGCAGGCGGCAGGTCCCTGTGAAGTGAAGGTGAATGTGCTATTACATGGCAACAGTGTTTCTATAGGGCTGTTGTCAGTACAACAATGTTTGCCCATTCGAGTTATTGGTCAATCTCACCTCGAGGATAGCAGAAAATACAGCTACATTCACGACATGTCCCCCAAGTCTTTATATTATCACCGCAGACCTGACTATGCGCAAGGAATATACAGTAGCCTTGTTGTTTATTCATTACGTTTCTCATCATTATAATAATTTCCCGACCGCTTCAAGCGTAGCCTACTAAGCGGAACGTTTCTTAGGCATCCGCGAGACAATATCCGCATACAATCTGTCAGCTGCCCTGTCGAAACCTATCCTGCAGAGCGCCATCGCTTCATGATGGATGATCGGATCTTGGCTTTCACGCTCACATAGATTGCCCCTGAAAATGATTCGAACATCGCCATAACTCGGATGTACTGCTAGACACATGTAATGATATATGCCTTCGTGCCCGATATAAACAGAAATCTGTGCAAGGGAAGAAAGGCCGTATGGACCAAAGTCACCATATTGACCGCTGCTAATAACAACGTTGGCCATGCTCTCTACATGTTCTTGTTAGTTGGTGAATCATAAGGTAAGTGAAGAATATGGTGCCTTACTAGTAAGATGAACCAGAGCTTCAGGATTTTGAGTCCACCGTGTGGGCAGGTTGTCTGCGAGGAGGAGGTAGATGCGATCAAAAACCATATCGCGGGTAATGCGAGCAAGCGGTCCGTGATAGACTCGAGGAGGGCGTGGATGTGGTTTTGATGGCTGGGAAGCCATACATGGCATATGGCCTGTAGGTGAGTGCTGCTTGTCGGGGCTTGGTGACATCGTGGTGATGAGCAGTGGCTTCTTTGTCCTGAACTTCTTCAGGTTTTCCAATGCTTCATTGGATGCTTGAGAAAGGTCTTGGAGATTTGGACGCCCGGTCATTTTGGCGAGTGGCTAGACTGAGAGTGTTCTTCTATAGGGTGGGTATTTAAGTATCTTGGAAGTTTCGATCAATGGTATAAGGCCAGAGATGGGCAAGCAGTAGAATTGGGGCCTTTTCATGATTGCTAAATAGTAGTATGATAGTCAAGGTGACTGGAAGTAGATCTGCAAGAATCTGATGTGACTGAACAGGCAACGAGACACTTGTAACTATACATTGCTGAATACGTTTCTGTATTGACAGCTAACTATTGTCATTGTCTTCTATTGTCTTCTAGGGAGACGAATCTTGCTCTTCTGAAGTCACCATCGGCAAGTGAAACGGGCACAGGCTGTACAAGAAGAAGAATTATTCTTCCAGCTATACATATAGCTAGCATCAGTAGAAAACAGAAACCAAGTCACTCCGGTTGCAATGTCTAAATTCAGCCCTATGATACATCTGGCGATATGTGGATGGTGTTGTTGTTTTTTTCAGGTGGGTCACCGTGTCTGAAATAGCTCTGCGCTAGTCCCGGATCGGCATCGCACACACCTGCACGCGCCCTTGGTGGAGCGCGGGAAGCATCAACAGGGCACTGGGCATTCACTCCTGACAACCGCCCCCGTCGCAAATCTGACCCCCGTCGCATCCCCACAGCGACTGCTCTCGCTTCTGTTTACTGCGGACCTTCACTCGTTAGTCGTCTGCACCTCCGCTCGCTTCCGATATACGTGTTGCGCACGACGACGACTGTGACTGCGACTTCACCACCTCTACCGCTTGGCACTCTCGAGCTCCGGCCTCCCCCGTCCTGCGACAATGGGCTTCGGCGACTTCCAGACGATATGCGAAAAGGCGCCGATACCCCTCTGCGCTGCTGTGGGCCATCAGGATATCAGCAATGGCGTGGGTATCCAGACACGCTGTTATGCCAGGACTATTGAGATCGCCAACACGCTCATCTTCGAGGCGGCTAACGACTTTATGCACATCCTGGCCCTGGTCATGACCGTCGTAATGATCATACACGTGCGCTCTAAATTCACGGCTGTCGGTATGTTGGCGCAATATCAGCATTATGACCAAGAACACCTTTGCTAACGTATATCAGGGCGTAAGGAAATCACAACCTTCTTCTACATCTACTTCCTCCTCACCATCATCTCCCTCGTCCTCGATGCAGGCGTCACTGCGCCCGGTTCCGCTACCTACCCGTACTTTGTTGCCGCCCAGAATGGCCTCACATCCGCCTTGTGTACTTGTCTGTTGATTAATGGCTTTGTCGGTTTCCAGCTTTATGAAGACGGCACCACCCTTTCCGTCTGGCTACTGCGGCTCAGCTCCCTCGCCATGTTCATCGTCGGTGGCGCGGTCAATCTCTTGACTTTTAAAGGCTGGGCCGGACTGAGTTTCATGAATCCTATTGGCATCTTTATCGTCACCTACCTCGTCAATGCCATCTGTCTGTTCATTTACGCCGTCAGCCAGATCATTCTCGTAATTGGAACTTTGGAGGACCGCTGGCCACTGGGTGATATCCTGTTTGGCATCTTCTTCTTCGTTATTGGCCAGGTGATTCTCTATGTCTTTAGTGACACCATTTGCGAAGGCGTACAGCATTATATTGACGGCCTTTTCTTCACCACCATCTGTAATCTGTTGGCTGTCATGATGGTTTACAAGGTATGTATTTTACTCCGTTGTTTGCGTATGCACCTGCTAACATGTAGACAGTACTGGGACTCTATTACACGCGAAGATCTCGAATTCTCCGTCGGTGTCAAGCAGCACAATTGGGAAATCAAAGAACCATACCCAGAAGAAGAAAGGCGAGGCACCATGTACCAGGACTCCGACTATACCCCATCGCTTTACCAACAACCTCATGGGCGTAACTCGCATTACTCTGCTGTGGGCCATTAAGCCTGTCTAATGACCCATTGTGTTTTTACCCTCGGACGACGTACATTTTGCATTGATCCCTATTATCCTTACGCATAAAGCGGAGTTTGTGGCATGTAATTGCTTTGGCAAAAAGAAAAACTTATCCACACTCCTGTAGCATTGTTGTATATGCACTAGCGACTAATTGGCACGGCACAGGAGGACTAGGTCGGAGGACGTTGACAATGTGCTCCCACCCAGACAGAACACAATATGACTAGTAACTACATAGATAGTAATATGAATACTCGAAATACATAGTATTTGATGCTTCCCCGAGCTTTCGCCGCCTCGGTGACCGTTATCCGTTCTTCCGACGGTAAACTAACATCGGCAATGTTCCCTGCGTAGGAGCTGCATCTAGGCAGTAGCCGACGCCAAGTATGGTTATCTTGGTATTTGATAGAGAAAGCTAGTGGAAGTGTCTTCTTCCCTGACACCTACCAACAGCTGTCACAATCAGCTTTGATTCGGGTCACCTTTCGGCTTGTGCAAACCTGTGGGATACGCTAGTGGAACGAGTGTCTGCTCCCCGCATTATGGCCGATGCATGTCCGGAACATACTTTCGGCACGATTACCATGACACCGCTTATTCCCAGTGTTGAGACATAATATACAAATGCACGCGAGCCATCATTGATTGTCATTGTAGATCGCTAAGCGCTCGAATGTCGTTTGTGCGTGATCGCTGATACTCATAACTCATCTGCTCTGTTTGCTACAATTGTATTTAGCCGTTAACCTTGAACCTTTCGACGTCACTTTACACAACTACTATCCAGAGAATGCCCAAAACAGACGTATTGATAGCGGGATCTGGCTCTGCTGGCATCTTTGCAGCGACATGGCTTGCCATCTACGGGATTCCTTTTACAATGCTCGAGCGGCGCCCCGGGCCGCTTAAGGTTGGGCAAGCCGACGGTGTACAAGTGCGGACAGTAGAAATCTACGAGTCGTTCGGACTATCGGAAGAGTTGCTAAGGGAGAGCTATCACGTCTTAGAAGTATGCTTTTGGGGAGTTGACGAGGATGACGAGGGAAAATCACAGGGCGGCATCAAGAGAAAAGGACGAACTATCGATACGGAAAAGGGATTAAGCCACCTGCCGCATGTCATTTTGAACCAAGCGCAGATGAACAGGTTGATGCTGGGGAAGCTGGAAAGTGTGCTTCGAGAACAAGGACGATGGCAAGACGGAGCAAGCAACGGCATCGAGTACGGATGGAGCGTCAAGAGCCTGGATATCGACGAGACCAAGACACGCGACCCAAACGCCCACTGTGTTAAGGTGACTGCCGAAAAAGACAGCAAAGAAGAAACCTGGGAAGCAAAATACGTGATAGGATGCGACGGCGCCCACTCCACCATCCGCAAAGCCCTCGACATCCGCATGCTGGGCGACTCATCCGACACCGTCTGGGGTGTCATGGACATCTACCCAATAACCAACTTCCCAGACATCCGCCGCAAATGCACAATTCGCAGCAACGCAGGCAGCATCGTCATTATCCCCCGCGAAGGCGGTGAACTCGTCCGCTTTTACATCCAGCTTCCCGTTGGCGCACGCCCCAAAGAAGTAAAACTACTCGACCTGCAGAACCAGGCCCGTCAGATATTTGCACCATATTCCATGGACTACGCAGGAGTATTTTGGTGGAGCGCATATAGTATCGGGCAACGTCTCGCAGCCGCCTTCCACGCCCACAACCGCGTATTCCTTACGGGCGACGCATGCCACACACACTCACCAAAAGCCGGTCAAGGCATGAATGTCTCGCTACAAGACGGATATAACATCGGGTGGAAACTTGGCTCCGTTCTGTCCGGCCTATCGCCGCCTTCGGTGATCCCGACGTACGTGTCTGAGCGCAGTAAAACGGCGGCTGATCTGATTGCGTTTGACCGGGAGCTCACGGAGTTGTTTGACAGAAAAGAAAAGTTCAAGGGCGAGTTTGCGGAGTATTTTGTAAGGAGTGGGCGGTATACGGCGGGGTTTACAGCACGGTATGAGGAGTCAGTTGTTACGCAGGCGGGGCAGAGGGAGCAGAAGGTGGCGAGGGGGGTTACGGTGGGAATGAGGTTTCCGAGTGCGCAGGTGACACGGTTTTGTGATTGCAAGGCGGTGCAGTTGCAGAGTGTACTGAGGAGCGATGGGCGGTGGAGGGTTGTGGTGTTTGGGGGGGATCTTGGTCGAGATGAGCATCTTGCGAGGGTGCAAAAAGTAAGTCGTATCCTTCCATTGTAAACCGTATAGTGTGTATATTGGGTGCTAACGAGAAGAAAATAGCTTGCTGGGGCTCTGGAATCCATATCACAACGGTATACGCCTGCGTCCAAGTACCCCGATGCTGTTATCGAACCATTACTCGTTATGAGTAGCAAGTTCCTAGATACACAGCAGGAAAGAATACCAGATTATTTTTGGCCTGCGACAGGTAAATGGGGGATCAGAGGTAAAAGCCATCGTCTTCTTGAGTCATCACTTTTAGCAAATGTTCCTGAGAACTGACATATATGATTACTAGATCTTCACAAATCATTCGTTGATGACGAGCACTACAATTCTGGTCATGGCCATGCGTATGAAGCGTATGGCGTGGATCCGTATGTTGGTGCAGTGGTTATCGTCAGGCCCGATCAATGTAAGTTACATTCATATTGGTGATGTGATAGACATGGAGCTGACCAAGTGTAGATGTTTCGAAAGTGACTTTGCTGGAGGATTTGGATGGGATCGCGGAGTTCTTCGCGGGATGCATGGTTAAGCAAATAGCGAAGAAGGATGTGAGTGCAAGGTTGTGAAGTGGATTTCGAAAGGGGGATGAGGTATGTGAGACTTTTTGTATCTAAACGTGGCTTGACTTACCACTACCCCAAAGAGTGGTATTTCAAGCCTTTGTCCTGTATTTGATCAGTGTTGCGGGCGCACGAGTAATGACAGCAGGCGGAATTCCATACCCAAGAATTGACTTTGGAAAGTAGTACTCGGCTCCTCAATCTACCTTGGCATCATCCCATATCCGTTGCGGACGGATCGGCAGTGAAGGTTTACCAGGCTCTCACCCGGCTGAAACACCAACAAGGACGCGTACACACCTTCCGATGGTCCAATAACTACTAAAACTACTCATATCGCCAGAAACTATCATTCCTTCCCAGAAGAGGAAAAAATCCGTCTCTTTGCCAAAAACGTTGCAATACCGATACCCCGTCCACGTGTCATCGGAACGACGCATAACCCAAACCCAAGTACACTAAAGCCACTCTCGATCCAAGCCCGCTTCACGCACATCGTCACGCCCCCCTTCCCCGCCACCCCCACAATGTCGCAGGCGGGCGCGCATCCGCCGCTTAGCGCATCGATTTCGTCTCGCGCAGCAGCGACAGCAGCAGCATCGCCGTCGATCGACTCGCTGCCGTTGTACCTGCGGCGCCATGTGAGCCTCGGCTTCAACCAAGACGACGTGACAGCGCTGCTTAGCTCCATCGACTCGAGCCAAGCGCGTAATGCACCATTGCAAAGAACAACGACAGCGACAACGACGACGTCAGCAGCGAGACCGGCGCTAGCACAATTGCCTGCAGAGCTCTTACTGCAGATTGTCGAGCATGTACCTGTGGACTATTTACTCGACTGGCGGCTTGTGTGCAGGGGATTCCGCGATGCAATTGACGGACAAGTGCTGTATCACTGCTTGCGACGCACACGGTTGCTGGGGTACATGGGGAGCCGGCACTCGCGGGCAATGGAGTCGCTAGACGACGACGAAGACTACGCTGCGATTCACCTTCTCGAAGCGCGGTTTGAACGCATAGAGACAGGCGCAAGCGCAAGTGGAGACGACGACGACGATGACAACGACCAGGCAACCGGCAGGCCGATATGGAGCGGGAGCCACGCCGTGTTCCGCGTCGACGACGAGTGGTACCGCCAGTTTCATCGAGTGGGCGGGGCACAAGACCGCCAGGGCAACACGATTGACGATGCGGATGCGCGGTGGTCGCGCACGCTGGACCGGCTGGAGCTGCGGCGCCCAGAAGAAGGATTCGGCACGTTGCGCTGGTGCATTCGGCTCGACCATGCAGTCCTGGATTTGGACTTTCCCGCTGAAGCAGACCGCTTGCACTTTGATGTCCGTGTCAATCTTGCTACGCGCTGCGTGCGAGTCGCATGGAGGGATATGCTCGTTCGCTTCCTCAAGACGGAACGGGCGTTGCGCTTGATGCTGGATGAGGTTCGTTCTTTACTTTTTCTATACTATATCGCAGATATACTACTCCACTATTATCTATTATATCAGAACCCCAGACTTGACCCCCGCATCCCACTCCCCCGCATTATTGAAACAAAATCGTCTAATTACCAAACAAGAAAAATAAGTTACGCTAACTCATCCTCCAGAAACGCACCCACCAGCGCTTCACCTTCAGCCACGCAGAAGACTGCCTCCGCGACCTCCGCCGCAAACGCCTCGCCGCAGCCCTAAGTCCGCACAGCAAAGTCGATCGCCACATCCGCTGGTCGCTGCGCCTCCTGCACCCGCTCTTCGGCTGCCCGCCAAACGAACACACCATGACGCTCGAAAACGTCGAAAACGACGCCGTCCACATGCTCCTCCTGCTACGTCGCGCCGCCTCGCTGTCCGCCGCCCAAGTCGACTACCTACATGCGCTTGCCAGGGACTATCGGGCTATGGAGGCGCAGTTGCGCCGGCTGGATGATGCGTATGCAGAGTTTAAGAGTTATCTGACTGTACCGGGGTTTCAGATGAATATCTTGTTGCCGGCTATGGTGACGAATGCGGGGCATGTGCCGCGGGATCCTGTGGCGTGGACGGATGAGTTGAGGGAGAAGATTGAGTGTCAGGTGGAGAGGTGGAGGGGCCAGAGGGATGCGGTGGAGCAGGTTGGTGAGATACTTGAGGCGAGCAATGAGGCCATGGGCGTGCCGGATGATAGTTTTGATGAGCTTGGGAGTGAGTTTTGATTGTGGTTTACCCTGTGTATGAGTTTTCTTTTTTCTTTTTTTCTTTTTTCTGCCTTTCGGTAGTTATGTATATATATAGACCAGGTTCAACAAACAACTCTCTGCTTTGAGGGGAAAGGAGCGGCTTCGAAAGTAATTCACGAAGCAAAACAATCGACATTGACATCACATGGCAAAACACACGCCCATTTCATGATCAATTCAAGTGTATTATCATTACTTTGCTAGCCCCCCCCCCCCCCCCCCCGTCGCCAGGTGCCGAGCGCAACAAGGGAAAATGAAACCGCGCAAGCGCTCTTTCTTTTCAAATTACCATGCCGTACTGTGAAAACAAAAGACGATATTCCCAGGATCTATGCATGCGGTGCATGCTGGTGAACAAACGCTGAAAAGACGCCAGAGATGCGGTTGCTGAGGATGGAAGTAGAAGAACAAGTAGAAGTAGGAGAAAACAACAGAAAAAAAAGGAAGCATTGTCGTAAAAGTGGGTCGTTTATAGCATCAGAGCTGCGCCGAAGAAGACGGCAGATACGCCAAACACGGCAAAAGGTGCGGCCAACAGTGACGGCGCAGCACCGTTTGCAGGAGGAGCATCTGCGGATCCAGTAGGAGAGGTGCTGGAGCCGGCAGATCCAGAAGAGCGCGAGCTCTCGGAGTCGGAGGAAGAAGTAGCAGAAGCAAAGGTTGAGCTTGCGCCCGATGTCAATGAGGTAGTGCTGTTAGCAGTACTGGTTACACTGCCAGATACAGAACTCTCGGTAGCCGAAGCGTCAGAAGAGGCAGAGCTGGTCTTAGAAGCGTCGCTCGACGACGAACTTGAGCTCTTGTCGAAAATGGCCTGGATGCGAATCTCGTGGCACTGAGCGCCAATCCACTCGTCGTAGAGGTTTCCAAAGGCACCACTCATGCAGCGCCACCAACGGGTGCTGCCTCCAATGGCGAGCGAGTCATTTTTGCACACGGAGAAGCCGCCAGTGTAGATTGCGCCAGCTTGAGGAGGGCCGTCAAATTGGAATTGGCGGTTAGCCACAATGGAGCCTGTGCGGCCAAACTGGTCGTGCAGGATGCCGTCCTTGAGGGTGCAGTAGAGCTCGCCGTCAGAAGCCTGTGTAGAGCAGTGGTGTTAGTATATTATACTGTAGTATGGAATATAAAGGCAGCCAAGCCAAGACTGAGCACGGATGCATGCATACCTGTTGGGCGGTCTCGCGCTTCTTGAGAGACGGGTTCTCGAGGGTGCCAATCTTGAAAGGGGTATCGACGGTGGCCTCGCAGCCGTCAGGAATAGTCGCATCGGGAGCAATGCCCTCCTCGACAGCCTGGCCTAGGGCCGTGGCAGCGAGGAAGAGGGGAGCGAACAAGGCCGAGGCGCGCATCTTGGACGTTGTGCTGAGGGTATGGGTGGATGGCTGTGCGAGACGTGCTGACCCACAAGTGCGTGTCGGAGAGTCGTATTGAATTACTCGTTAATAGTAGGGGATTGGTGGGCAATGTTTTGGGGGTAAAATAAGCGTGCTGGAGCTGCGTCACGTATTATGGATTGGGGGAAGAATGGCAGAAGAGCAGACGCAACAGAAGAAGCCTTTGGGTTGGGAGAGGGGAAAAGAAGAAGAAGAAGAGAAAGAGAAAGAGGCTGGCACATATTTGTCTGGAGCAGCCTCGCGCGTGCCTGCCACACCCACCCACCCACCCACCACCCCCGAGTCGGCAGTACTGGGACCAGCGCAAAGCAAGGCCGATGGGAGCAAAAGCAAGCTGTACCTGCAGATCACGGCTGGATTGGGGAAAGGCCAACGCGCGGGCTTTTGGCGAGGTAGATTGCATCGTTATCATCGACATGGTTGGCGCCCGGGGGGCCTGTCGAGCGGGAGAAGCAAGACGACATGCTCCCATGCCAGTGCAGGTTTCTGCATAGGGGCATTGGCATGGGCATGGGCATGTACTTGAATACTCACATGCCATCCATCAACAGCGACTGCGCGCACGTACTCGGCATACCAACCTCGCACTGCGACGATCAGCAAACGGCGGTGGTGGGTGGTGGAGGTGCCAACGGGCTAACGGTACTTAGGCGTGGACACCAACACCCAAGTGGCGGGAACGAGGCTTGAGCAGTAGCTAATGCTACGGCGGCGGTGCAGGTACCCGTTCGTGGGGAGAAGCGTGGCTTGACCTGACCACACCTGCCAGGCCAGACCGCCCCCGTCAGCTGTGCATGAAACCAGAAAACAAGTTGATAAGTCCCATCGCGCTCATGGCCAGACTGGGAAAATAACCATGTCTGATTGCGTTGGTCAAGAGTTGCGTTTCGCTAATAGTCCGCATCATGCGGCTCAAACAGGAAACAGCAAACAAGAAACACACGCCTGCCCACCTGCTACACAAAAACACCGCGCCCTTGCCCTCGCCCTCGCCCTCGTCTCCCTCTATTCACCATCCATCCATCCATCCATCCATCCATCCCACTCACCCCCGTCCGCCCTCGCTGCCATGTCTTGCTCTACTTATTCCCATCTCCATCCCTAGCCATAGCAAGCCTCGTCTCATCGCACGCTTGGGCAATCGCATACGCCCGCAGCTCGCCCGCTCTGGCTCGCACCGCTGGGTCCACGGTTCGATCAAGCTTGTTGAGGTCGACCTTGCCCAGCAGCCCAGCCGGGTGTCTGTCCGCGCACACGGCTGCCACAACTTTGCCAAGCTCCTCGGGCGCTCGCATCGCCTCGACCAGCAGGAACTGGTACCATCCGGCCCGGTTCAGCGCTGGCATGTATCGCGCCTGCGACCCTCTGCTGCTCTCGCCAACTCTGACATGTTGGCCGTGTGTCACTCTGTCAAAGTTCCAAATCGGCGTCAGTGCGCTCTCGCACGGCACCATGACGTGCGGGATGCCTTCGATGCTCCACATCTTGGCAAACGCACCGTGAGATTGATGCGCAAATAGCCCTGTCTTGACATTAGTCTTTATCATGCCGACGAGCTTGTCCGCTTGGATTACTCTACTCACGCTTTTCATCCTCATTTAACCTCAGCAGACAACTGCCCATCAACTTTGACCCTTCCACCAGGCCCGTGTTCCTAGGCTCAAACTGCCTGTCCAATGCATCGAAAAGCAAGTCGGCCAAGACGTAGAATTCATCCGTCGCCCTTTCCGTCGCTGGGTCGGCAACTCTCCATGTGCCAGCTTGCGGCACCTCGCTTGCCTTCAAACTCGGCTGACGTCCATTGTCTTTGGGCGGCTCTGCTGAACCAAGGCTGAGATTTCCGAGGTCCGCAGGCAGTTCTACAGCGAATGTTGGCGGTGCGAAGTGTGGTGCGGCTTGGTGATGTACCGGCGGAGGAGGTACCGTGTTCCCCTGTTGTGTTGGCGACGGACTGGTAGAGTGATGTGGTGCCTGCACATGAACTGAGCCATATGGATTAGGAGCTGCCGACATGCCATTCCAATGCTGCTGGTGCTCTGGGCTGACCGGAGTGACTGGAGAAACCACATGCTGCGAGGGATACACTGGCTGTTGTTGAGGCCCAGGCCGATCTTGTGTTGCCGGGATTGAGCTCCCCCATTGCGCTTGTGGAGATTGTACAGCCATATGCGGAGGCGTATTCGCAGCATGATTTGGTATGCCCCCAACATGATTTGGCGTGCCTGCAACAACTCCGCTCTCTTGTACCGCATAACAGCCGGGTAGCTCCTGCACCGGCGGCGCATATGGGCTGTGTCCTATTTGGCCATGTCCATGTTGCGGTGCATAGCCCGACGTAGTAGTTGATGGCGGCGGCGTATACGATTGGGAAACAGGCGCTTGCTGCGTCTGCTGCGGTGAGTAACCAGCATGTCCCGAGTGTCCTGGAGTCGACGTGAAATAACTCGATAGCTGATATGGACTCGATGCCGGCGGAGGTGGTGGAGGAGAAGAAGAAGAAGGATGATGCCCCTGGCTCCACCGTTGATGTTGCTGTCCCTGACCCCACTGCTGTTGTTGCGGCTGCGGACTAGTAGTAGCAACAGCAGCAGCAATCTGACCCTGACCCTGCTGCTGCTGCTGTTGTTGCCCATGATGACTCTGATAACTCTGCGCACTCTGAACCACATGTACAGGCGGCTTGCTATTCCCTAGTAGCGAGCTCATACTCTTACCCAGTTTATTCAGCATCGGTTTTCCATTCGTCAGATGCTGATTCACCATTTGTCCGATTATCCCCCCAGACTTCTGGGCATAATAGCTTGATCCTCCATCGTACTTGGCTGCATGCGGAGGTTGGTAGGGTGGGGGCTGCTGATGCTGCTGATGTTGCTGATGTTGCTGATGCTGCTGTGGCGCTGGGGGTATGTAGGTCCCGTACTGCGACATGCTTGTATAATATATATGTGTGTGTGTACTATGGATATGCGAGAGTATGTACACAGTCTCGGGACTTTTTGACGGGCGGATCGAGCGTCGCTCCTCCCCCCCCCCTCTCTCTTTCCCGCCCTTCAGCTCTTAAGGCGTCCCGCTGAGGACCCACGCGAAGCCAGATGCAGAACGGTGGCTTGTTTTACAGCCGCAGCGTAGTGCAATATTGTTGGCGACACGGCGGCTAGGCTCAAGGGGGCAAGGAGGGTGGGTGTTAGCGTGACGATCGAATGTCATTTATAGCAGTAGCGTAAGTACATTCGGATAAACATGTCGAGAGATGCATGAACCTAGATGCGGGACGTTTAAGGAAAGGGGACTACGATAAGATAACATTTCCTACCTAGTGATGTGTTTTCTAACGATAAGAGTTGTAGACAGCCAAACAGTACAACTTCTTAATGTATAGCAGAATCAACCCGCCCCATCGCCCCAACCTCGACCAAAATCTTGACCTGGTTTTCCTTGTCATGAACAAGAGCCTTGATGCCACTCTCCACAAGATCCTCCAACTGAATCCTCCTCGTAATCATCTTACTCGGTTTCAACTTGCCTGCACAGACACATTAATAATCTCGCAAACACAAATCCATGTCTTAAAAACTCACCAGAAGCCAGCAAATCTAGAACAGCTTGAAAATCTTCCCTCCGATACCCTAACACAGCCGTATACTTTGCTTCGCGCGAAACCAGCAAGTTGGGATTAAATGGCACTTCTGTCTCCCAAATCGCTACATTGACTATCGTGCCTTTGGGCCGCACAGCTGTGCACGCAGTAGTGAGACTGGCTGGTACGCCCGCGCAGTCGAAAACGACATCAGGACCCCCGTTACTGAGCGCCTTGCTCATTTTGACAACGTCGTACGTCTTGGGACACAAGACATGATGGGCTCCGAATTCTCGTGCAAACCGCTGGCGGGTGCCGGATATTTCGCTTACGATGATTTTACCTACGCCTTTGGCGACGAGACATTGGACAATGGCGAGGCCGATGGGGCCGCCACCTAGGATCAACGCGGTCGAATCGGGACTCAGTGGTGCGGCGGATACGGCATGCCAGGCTACGCTCAGGGGCTCGACCAGCGCGCCTACATCGAGAGGAATGTTGGGTGGTAGATGCAAGACTGCAGCTTCGGGTACGACCACGGAGTCGCTCAGGCCGCCACCACCACCGGATAGTCCGATAAAGCCGCCGTTGAAACAGACGTTTTCGCAGCCTGCTTTGCATGCTTCACAGACTCCGCAGTATATGCTTGGTTGGATACAGACGTTTTGGCCTACGGAGAAGGCAGAGTCGGGTGATCCCACTTCTGTGACGATGCCTGAGAACTCGTGGCCGAGGGTAATGGGAATCGTGTCTTTGGTGCATGGGTGAGGCTCCGTTGGCGCAAATGTAGGTCCACCGAGATACTCATGGAGATCCGAACCGCAGATGCCTACGTAGGCCGGGGCAATCTACACAGTTATCAGAAATTGCTCTCCTCTTCCATGTTACGACACCATCGGAAGGGGAGAGACGTTACTCTGACTTGCCCCGCTCCACACTCCTGCTGCTCCACATCCTCAATCCGAATATCCTCTTTTCCGTAATATCGTGCTGCGCGCATTGCTCTAATCCTGTTCCAGGTGTACTGGTTCCAGACCTTGATCCTAGTTGGTTCGTGTCATGTGTCTCTTGATCAACAATCGCAGTCGCGAAGGCGCTTTCAATAGCAGACATTTGGTGTCCTCCCCTCGCCTTCTTGTATTCTATCAAAAGCACTAGCCAGCCTCGGTTCCGCTTGTTGGCGGGAGATGCGCGCAGTACCTACCCCGTGGCAGGAGTTATACCCCGCGGGAGACAAGTCATGCCATGTGTGTAGGTCCGGGATTTATCGGTCGTTCGTCAGCTCATTGGGCATTGGATACGGGGTTAAAGGAAGCGCCTTGGGATAAGCACGCTCCACAGGGAAAAAGTGCCCTTGATCCGGCATCGCGTGCACCGCATCCAGTTGTTCGGAGGAAGTGGGGCGGAGACAAAACCGGGGACAGCGCTGACCTCTTTGCGGGGGCGGGGGGGATTGTGGGTTTACTAGCTTGGGTAATCCGCAATCCTGGGCTCCTGGATTTTGCTCCTTGTCTCCAAGTGCTCATGCACTAACTGGCTATACGAAGTCTCTCATAGAAACGCTGCGTAAAGGGAGTAGTTGTGCTGAATCGAGTCAATCGACCCGGCGTTCGTGGCCGATGAGTGCAGATACGTTGACGTCAGACGGTGACGAGACAGGATTGATTCTCGGCCCCTCACACCAGCTCACGCCATTGTTTGTGTGATGCACTACTTTCTCAGAAAATATAGGTTCATCCCTTCCAGATGAAATTTCTCGAGAGAGACCGACGTACCTGGTTCCACCCTTGCTATTGTTGTCATGCTTCGCGTGATGAGGTGGTGTGAATAAAAGATTGCTAAGTGTTGTTGTCAACCCGTTGTCGCGTAGAATATAGTACTTTGAGTGGTACTTGGAGTGACACTTGGTACTTGATTTGCTGTTGTATTGGGTTCTTTTCGGCAGGTACGAAAGCAACGAGCGCGCGATGATCGCTGAACAACCGAATCCGAAAGCCATGTTGGAAACGCAACGACATGGTTTTGGTGGACGTGTATCACGTGCTAGGAGGTTTCGATGCCGACTTAAAATGCGCCATACGCCGTGTGCTCCGGAATTTGATTCCACGGAGAAGGTATGGAGAGGTTTGCTGAAAAGGTATAGGTAGACTGTAAGTTGACATGCAGGGTCTTGAGCAGCGCTACTGTCGAACACCAAAGTAAGGGCCATATTGTCGCATAGAAGAAAGACATCTCGGCAATGTGGTCAGCGTTCCGACAACAGCTTCGATGCAACTATTCTGAATGTTTGGCGCTCCGTGACTCTACTTTCGGCATACTACCTTGTTCAAGACACCCAATTTAGAGACTTGCTGGCTAACAATGAATCCGAGAATCAAACCTATTGCCAATATCAATTCTTATCAGTTCTTTTCTAGGCAAGATGTGAGGCATGCACGATGATGAAGGTGTTTCTTTTCTCGCCAACTTTTCTTTTTCGAGTCAATTGCTGATCAGCACTATGCAAATCATCAAAGACGACAACTGCATTGGGCGAACAGAGTATGGAGATTCAGGAGATTGCTGTATCGTACTTCTGGGGTGGCTTTTGTGTAATGGCTGTGAGCCTCCATTGAAACTCGAACAATTTCAAAAGCACAGTGCAACACCATACGGCCTATGCGCATAGCAACCAATAACATTGGCTCGATGGTAGCTCTGGTTGTATCGCGCAATACGTGTAGAGAAATCGGCTCAGCGAAAGGATGATCTTTTGTGGGGTCAGAGGGGTCGATCCGATTCTCAAAGCGGGCGAGGTCAACAACAGTAATCCCTGTCGAGCTGTGATCTATGCGGCACCAACTCCGTTGTGATAACATAACCCCATCACCCCGTGCATACGTAGTCCACACGTACACACTACGTACTTACATCGCTGTCCTTGCAGCACGTGTTGATGAGACTACCCCCTGGCTTGGTTCTAACGTTGCCAAGTACCGTTGGACGCGGGGGTTGGCGTTCCGAATCATCTCGAACATGTCACCCTCGTGAAGGTGGTGTCAGGCTGCACAGTATTATAGCAATGGCCTGTCCTATAATACCAGACATTGTGTCAATCTTCTCCGAGTCCAAGGTTAGCTTACTTGTGTAACTATCAATACTGCAGTCCTTGTTCACAAATTATACGACAGAAGGTACTTGAGCTCGTCGATTTGGGCTATTGGACCCCTTTGTTTCCCAAATTAGATTAGTTTTAAAACAGTTTTCTATCTTAGCTCTCGTACGAAGAGCATAACGTTTTTTCACACTTTTATACCTTCATATCGTAGCAAACACAACAGAGACTCTCTTTGGAGTTTGTTACGATATATATGTAGTAGTATGTATGTATGTATGTATGTATGTATGCATGAAGAAGAGGGATTATAAGAGTTTACTCATGTTTTTTTACTGCAATGCAGAGGTGCGCAGATATTCTGTTTGAGTGAAGAATAGCGTAGACTAACTAACCTTAACACGATTGAATACAACAGTGGATATATTATTGCACTAACGTAAGCGCTAGAGCTGTATAGGAAGCCGTCGTGTCAAATAACGCAAATCAACGGAGTTGAATAACACTTGCCATGCCATGCCATGCCATGCATGTACATGTGCGTACTCATACTCGACAAGATCGACATGGGGCTACCGCCAGGAGCCGGCGTTTTCCAGACGACAAACTACCACCACGTAGGCGTACAGCAAAGGCAGCGGAGATCGCAGGTGTTGAGCGAAGCTGCGAGCAAGTCTGCGTCTCGTCATGGATTCCGCTAATGCTTACGCGAACAAAAGTTAGGAGAAAAAATGCCCAATAACGGGAGCTAGTCAGGATGCGAAGGCTGTCCCGTCCAGGCCGACGTCATCGAGTGGCGAACTACACGCGTTTTTCGTCATTCCAGACGCCAAGCGAGGACAGGGTTATTTGTCCCTGCAGCGAATCATGACACAATCGAGCGGCTGTGTCGGCAGTACTACAGCCTCTGCCTCCTTCAACATGCACATTACTCCAGCTAGTAGATACAAGTCTATACACACGCCGTGTAGACTAGCAGCCCTCGACTAGTTCGCCCGTTGCGCTTGTCAATCTTCTCAAAACTGCCGTTTCAGGTTTTTTTTCAGGTACCGGCAACTACTAACGCTAGAGTTCCAAACACTACACGCGATCGTTTGTCGATGGCCGGTGATTCACGCGGGCCAACTGCGGTCATGTCTCAAGCGTCGGTGTCAAGCTCCCTAACCAGGGTGCATGGGGGCGGCAATTTAGATGCGGCCATCGGCTACCCACCGCATCCAGGACGGAGTTCACCGAGAACTGACCGAGAGCCATTTGTTCGCATGGTCTTGCTGGTATAGAGGACGTGGAGGTGTCTGTCTCGCTGCCTGCTGACCTCTTCGTTCTCCCAGCCATCAGAGGCTGTCTGCCCTGATAACAGCCACCATCCTACGTACTTCTCAACTTCCACGGGGTATTTTTGACGTCGCGTACTCATCAACGCAACCATGTCGACGGAGCTGGAGACTGCTGAACATGCAGGTGCTAAATCTCACCTGTCGTTCCTCACTGAACCGACCGGGGATTCCGCTATTGACTCCGACCTTCAATACATACGCGAGCTGAACTGGGCCGATACCGCTCCTGGACCCATTGCAGAATGGCCTCGCGAATTACTGGTGCTCATCAACCTGGCCATGCTCAGCCCCCAGCCCCAACTATTCCTATTAGGCCGTGATTCGACCATCTTATACAACACAGCGTATGGCAGGTTGCTTCGCGATTATCACCCGCTGTACCAAGGCAGACCAATAGCTCTCAACACTGCAATGGTTGGGCATGGTCCGGCAATACCAAGACTCACACAGCCTGAAAATGACGGGTCCGGCGTGGACAACGAGCACCAAATACCGTGTTTCTTCCCACACCATGGCCATCTCCAGGAGGTTTTTCTCAGAGCGACAATGGTAAAATTACCATTGTCCTTGGATGGATACCATGTCACAGCTTACGACACGACCAAGGAAACGCTGCAGCGTCGTCGTGAACGGTCGCTAAATCACATTCGTCGTGCTTCCAAAGATGCCACAGACCTAAATGCCTTGTGGACTTCAACATTGCGTGGCATATCGAATGGTAATGGTGATATATCGTTTGCGGCTATATACTTTGCCGACAGTAAGCTCGTGCGTGAACATGAGACCGGATTCATAGCGAATGAGATTAGCACCAACGAACTCATTCTTGCTGACACTGTGGGCTCCTTTACAGCACCGCTCCCATCAAGGATCAAGCGTAGCGAGGATCAGGCATGGATTAGAACCATCTACAAAGCCATCGATTTGCGTACTCCTGAGCTCCTTTATGCAGCAGACGGATCCTTGCCACTAGAGATGTGCCGTGCATCTAGGGACCGGTGCTATGGCGATGATTCTTACCAGGCAGTCATTCTGCCTAGTATCATGGGCAAATCCGGAAACGTTTACGCTGTATTGATCCTTGGACTAGCACCACGATGTCCTTACGATTCTTCCTATCAGGCATGGGTGGGGACGCTGCATCAACACTTTTGCAGCAGTGTAGCATCAATTACAATTGCGGAGACTAGGAGGCTTACGAAAGAAAACGACCAAAAACTGATAGCAAAAGAGAAGGAGATGTTGGCAAAGGAAATGCAATTGAGACAACAAGAGGCCGTGTTAGCGACAGGCAAGATGCAGCGCATGTTGCAAGTAATCGAAGCTGCCAGGTTAGTCTTCTGCATCATACAGATGAGCTGTGCTGATCTTTTAGCAAAAGTATCGGTTTTTTCGAATGTACCCTGTCAGGAAAGCTGACGCAAACTAATGTGAGAAAAGAAAGCTAGACGAAATGCGTATACTAACAACAAACAGGAAGCGTTTTGTAATTTGAGTGGTTGTTCCAGAGACGTTGATGTACGGTATCAAACAGTATTAATGGAGCTTTGCGAGCGAGATGATCAGCCGCTTCTAACATCCCATTGGAAATCCTTGGTGGCTGGCCGATCAACAACGCTCGCAGTAAGGTTTCGGCCTCATGGCTCTGAAAGAAAATGGGTGCAGATAGCCTGTGTCCCTATGCTTGATAATGCACTCGGTGTTGTAAGCATTACAGGTTGTGTAGCAGCCCTCGACGTTCAGCAAATGATCAAATATGAGGCCACCGCTGATGGTGCTGGGGCCTCGGACCAAGTTCGCCTGAACAAATCGCGTCTTTTGAACTTCATTGAAAATGCGAATATCGGCCTTCTGGTGTTTGACGAGAACGGAACGCCCTCTTTTGTCAACAAGGCCTGGTTCCAGATGACGGGTCATCCTTCAATGTCAGTAACGAGTATACAAGTTCGTTCCATTGTTTTCCCCGAGGATATCTCGGAGTTTGATGCACGCCTGGAAAATATTTTCAAATTTCGAAAGCCTGAGAGCTTTCACGTTCGGCTGAAAAGTATTCACAAAGGAGCGCCTAATTACTCGGAGCACACGTGGGTGCAATTCGCTGCCTTCCCAGACATTGTAGAAAATGGCGCTCTCCAAATAACGACTACAATTACCGACATCAGCGACTTCAAGTATTCTGAGCTTCTCCAGCGTGCAAAGCTCGAGGAGGCTATTGAATCCAAGCGACAGCAAGAAAAGTAGGTGCTCTTCCATCCAGGGTTGTGCCAGTCAACAACTAACTTAGCACAGTTTTGTCGATATGACTAGTCACGAGGCATGTATTTCTATTTAATTAAGTGAAAATTACCGTCTAACACGTCGTAGATCCGAAATCCTCTAGGTGCCGTTATGCACTGTGCAGACGCTTTGTCGCATTCGCTTTCCGAAATGAAATTGATACTCGATCGCGCAAGCCGTCAAGATGCGCATAACGTAGACCACAAAAGTACCACGAAACAGCTTCAAGAATGTACGGGCAGCATGATTGAAGCCGCGGACACTATCATGGCCTGCACAGTACATCAGAAGCGAATCATTGACGACATTCTCTCCATCTCAAAGCTTGACTCCAACCTTCTAGAGATATGTCCCTCGGCCTTCCAAGTGAAAACCTTTCTTGAGCAGGTCGAGAGCACGTTCAGGTTCGAAGCTACACAGGCTGGTGTCACATTCACGATAATACCTGATCCCTCTCTGAGTCAGCTCGGGGTTGACTGGATCGAGGCAGATCCCGGCAGAATCATGCAGGTTCTCGTAAACTTGGTTGCGAATGCTATCAAATTCACAAAAGATAGCCCCAAAAGTAAAAACGTCACTCTCCGTGTTGGCGCTTCCTCTTCTCGCCCTGCAGATATATTTGCCGACTTGATGATGGTAGCATCTCCAACCTCTTCGCAAAAGGAAGAGGCCAAGGCAGCCATAGCAACAAACGGGCAGGAGCTCTATCTATGGTGTAGCGTGAAGGACACAGGCTGTGGTATGGACTCTACTTCCATGAAACGTATTTTCTCGCGGTTCATACAAGCTTCCCCAAAAACATACAGCAAGTACGGCGGTTCTGGTTTGGGGCTTTTCATTAGCCGAAAGCTGATAGCTCTGCAAGGCGGAGAGATTGGTTTTGCATCTCAAGAAAATGTAGGATCAACTTTCGCCTTTTACGCTAAAGCTTCGCGAGCAGTTTCGCCGGAATCTGCTCTTACTGTTCCTACTTCACCCGGTAGGCCCACCGAAGTTAGTAATAACCCTCGACATTCCTATGGTCCACAAAGCCCCGAGTCTCGAGACAAACGACAGCTGAGTGTTCTTCTTGTCGAAGATAACATGGTCAACCAGCGCGTCTTGAAGAAGCAGTTGCAACGACACGGCTACATTGTTCACACGGCAGACAATGGACAGAAGGCCCTTGACTTTATCAAGACTTCACAACACTGGAAGGCGTATCCAGATACCACTGCCTCAGATTCATGCATCGATGTTATTCTTATGGACGTTGAAATGCCTGTCATGGACGGTCTCCAATGTGCAAGGATGATACGTACTGCGCAAAACAATGGGAAAATCAACAAACACCTCCAGATAGTTGCTGTTACTGCAAACGCAAGACCTGAGCAGCTGAAGCGTGCTACAGAGGCTGGGATGGACGATGCGATCTCGAAACCATTCCGAGTGAAAGATCTAGTACGCGTAATAGACAGACTGGGTGCTCTAGAATGAGGCGGAGGTATGCATTTGAGCTTATGGGTGGGTGAATCGCTACGAATACGGTCCTGTTGAGCTCTGCGCACAATGTACTGCCTGGACTATCCTAATAATCATAATTTTCATTTCCTGTACAGCCTTGCGTTAAGTAGAGGTAGGGTCTGCCAAGCGGGCAGCGCAGTGAAAGATGAGCTAGTTGATTTTGCGATGAATTGACGGTTGGTGTGCTGTCCCATTACGTATATATCTCACTTCATCCACATTGGATCTTTCCCACTGCAGCCTGCAGCATTGTATCTACCAACTTGGTTGCAACTCACGGTACGGTATTATTAATGGTCCACAAGCCACTAGTACTAATCAGTGACAGATGAGTTTCAATCTAGACGTGCTTTTCTTTGAGCCTGCTGACTTGGGCCTGGACAACCCGATGGCCGATCCATACAAGCATGAAATTTCTGAAGTCAAACATGGAGAACCACTGTGTGTGTCAGATATAAACGATGAGGAGTTGGAAGAAGGAGAGAGCGAGCAGAGGCGACTTCGATCCGTCATCGCACATCTCAGTCAACAGTGCGATTATTGGATAGCGCAAGCTGAAGAACATGACAGGACCATTGCAGACCTGGAACAGAGGACATCCATGGATACAGCCCATGCGGAACTTCCTCGCGACATCCTGCGCCGCATTAATCGCCTGGAAAGCGAAATGGTACGCCTGCGTGCAGAGAACGCTCAACTGAAGGAGACGCACAAGACTACTGAGCGCGAGAATATCCTCCTTGGCATTCAAAACGAGAGCAAGGCCAACAAACTCAAGGGTGCAAACACAAAGGTTAAGAATGCTAAGCAAGTTGCTAGTAAAGAGTAGGAAAAAGCTAAAGAAGTGATGGAAGCCAAACAACGCCATCTTGCATCCCAACGCAAAATGAAGGAACGCGATGATGCTCTGGCTGCGACGCAGGAACAGAGGAAACTGAACGAAGATCTTCGCGCAGAGCTTGTAACAGAGCAGTCTGGTGTTCCACACATGCGCGATACTTCTGTTGCTCCGAATGATACTGTAGTTGTGGCCCCGATTGAATTTGAGGTTCGCCGTGTCGACGTTCAGTGCATTATGGTAGAGTTAGGCCAGCGCCAGATGGACTGGACTGTGGGTATTGAGGAATGGTACAAAGAATGGTTAGGTTTTTCTTGTGGTTCTTACAAAAGAAGAGGAATATGAGGATGTACGAGGATATGCTCAACAGACTAAATGGTTATGTCGAGAGAGCGGCGGAGAATGGCGGTCAGGCCTGTAGGCGTGCTTGCGAGGCTCCCTGTCGTTTTACTAAATCATGTCATGATGAAGAGGTGTATGCACATGTAGGGCCATGGAGAAGCGCCGAGTAGTAGTTCACAGCTTTTAGATGATGGTGATGATAATGAAATAATGTGTAATACTCTAGAAACTCGTATTTGATACTTGTGGATACATTCGGCCCGTTTTCTGGTTGCAACTCCTCCAAGTGAAGAACGATGATATATGTACTACTGTCGTCGTCCTCATGCTTGGCATCTCCAGCCTCATAATCGCTCCCAAGTCAGTCTGACGCACGCCGCACGACCCTCCGGCCCACATTGTTCCGCCAAACCGCTCCGGCGAGGTCAAGAGAGCCAACCATGTCCAACTTGCTGCCACTTCTGCCCTCGCACTTCACGCCGCGCGAACGCTCCTACTCGCAGTCTGCCGCCCTAGCCAGATCCGCATCTGCATCCCCGTCTGCATCCACGGCCCGCCCGCAGTCCGCAGTTCAATTGCCGCCGCCGGGTCACAACCTCGCCATGAACGGGACGCCCAGTCAAGGGTCGGGCCTACGTTACCCCTCGAACAAGAAGACCATATACGACCGCAACCTGAACCGGAGCAAGAATGCAGAGCTCAGCCGCGCAGCCTTTGCCTACCTCTTTATTGAAATGATTGCCTATGCGCAAAAGGGCGCAAAAGACGTGGGCGGCTTAGAACAAAGGTACATTGCTCATTGCGCGCAAATCCCACGCCTTCTCTTCCTACAGTACATGGCATAGCATGGCTTTGCTAACAAGTGCCTCCCTCCTCTCAGACTCAACAGCCAAGGCTACCCTATCGGCCTCCGTCTTCTGGATCTCCTCCTCTCCCGCACCGCCAACCCCCTCGCCTCCATCCGCCCCACACGCATCCTGCCGCTCCTCCAGTTCATCGCCCAGCAACTGTACCGCTACCTGTTTGGCCGCCCCGCCGACGCCCTCGAAAAGTCGGGCACAGACCCGGGACAGTACATGCTGTTTGACAACGAGCCCATGGTCAACCAGTACATTTCGCTACCAAAGGAGCTGTCAAGTCTCAACTGCGCGGCGTTTGTGGCGGGCATTATCGAAGGCGTGTGCGATGGTGCGGGGTTCCCGACTGAGGGTGTTACGGCGCATAGTGTGGGCGAGGAGGAAGGTAAGGATGGGAAGGGGCTTTGGCCGGGGAAGACAGTGTTTTTGATCAAGTTTAAGCCGGAGGTGTTAGAGAGGGAGGAGATTTTGGGGAGGGGTGGGGGATGAGTGGCGGTAGGAAATGGATGGGCATGCGTGATGAAATATTTGCATAGCGAGGGCGTTTTGGGCTGGGTTGCATTTCTGGTTTCTGGATATTTTTGGTCCTTGCAGCGCGTGTGTCAATTATACATATGTTCGATTCCAAGGTCGGGTGCGCTGAAATGGGTAGGCTTTCTGCTGAATACATGTGATATGAAAGTCATTTTTGGGCGTATGTGACCAACGCGCAAATACACTTTGTGTGATCAGAACTCTACTTATTACTATCACCGACTACCACAAGAAGCAAGTGTAGCGACACGTGATGCTTACTTCGATTACAAATTTAGGCTGGCGAGAAGGTCCTTTGTTCAGTACGTATAGAATGTTCTACAACATTGCAACTTGTTTTAAAAAAGTCACGGCTTCAAAACCACCCTGCTCTCAGCATACATTGCCCAGCTCCACAATCGCATTTCAGTATTACATCAAAAAGAAACATCCAAACATTCAAGACAACCATGCCAACAGAAATCTCCGCCCCTCTCCACTTCCACACCCTCCTAAACGCCCACACCTACCTCATCGCAGACTTCTACGCAACCTGGTGCCCACCCTGCAAACAAATCGCACCTGTCTACAACCAATTCTCCAACACACGCTCTGTACCCGGAAAGTTCGCTTTCGTCAAGATCAATGTTGATGAGCAGCGCGAGATAGCGGCGCAATATGGTGTCACGGCTATGCCGACATTTATGCTGTTTAAGAATGGGAAGAAGGTGGAGGAAGTTAGAGGTGCGGATGTGAGGGGATTGAAGGGGATGGTGGAGAAGGCCGGTGGGGAGGTTAAGGCTATGGGTGTAGAGAAGAAGGAAGAGAAGAAGACTGAAGGGGAGAAAACGAAGGAGCAGGTGGAGAAGAAGGAGGAGGAGGAGAAGACGGTTAGTGGGTGTTATGGGATGACCGGAGGGAATCACTGGAGGATGTCGTTGAATTAGTGTCGTGTGATGATACCCCCGAATTGAGAATATAATCTATTTTTGCATTTTGATGGGTTTGGTACTATACATACAGTGCTCTAGTAGGAATGCGGGGTGACTAGTAGTTCTGTATGAAGAGAATAGCCTGGGCTGTCCGTACAGTAATCTTTTTCACGTATTCATACCCACATCCAAGACCTACATCAGCAATTGCTTTGTGTGGCAAGATTTGAAATCAAACCATTCGTTGCAGTGACGCTGGATTTGTAAACCCTGGTCAGATGTCTGGGTAAGAGAGGACACCTTGCGTGCTAAGCGATCGCCAGCGCAGGACCCTGGAGGCAAGCCCTCTAGCTCGACCGTGTTCCCCACCGCTCTTCAACATAAGTTTGGAGCTCCCATTCCACTGATTGAGCTTCCTCCTCTCAAACCTTACAATGTTGTTCCGCAATCTCATACCCGCGGTCATTGCGCTGCTCCCCGCCATTGCTTCGGCAGATGCCGTCATTGACCTCAACCCCTCCAACTTCGATGATGTTGTCCTCAAGTCCGGCAAGCCCGCCCTCGTAGAGTTCTTTGCCCCTTGGTGCGGCCACTGCAAGAACCTCGCCCCCGTCTACGAAGAACTCGCCACCGTCTTCCAGCACGCCGGCGACAAGGTCAGCGTTGCAAAGGTCGATGCGGATAACCACAAATCGCTCGGCAAGCGTTATGGCGTCTCAGGTTTCCCCACTCTCAAGTGGTTCGATGGAAAGACCGACAAGCCTGTCGATTACAAGGGCGGACGTGATCTTGAGAGCTTGAGCAAGTTCATTACGGAGAACACCTCCGTCAAGCCTAAGATCAAGGCCAAGCTTCCTAGCCAGGTTGTGTACCTTGATGACAAGAGCTTCAAGGAGAAGGTTGGAAAGGACCAGAATGTGCTTGTTGCCTTTACTGCTCCATGGTGTGGACGTACGTTCTACGGTTCCAATCTGTCAAGCTGCCCTTTGCTGACGTGCATACAGACTGCAAGACCCTCGCCCCCGTTTGGGAGACCCTCGCCAACGACTTTGTCAACGAGCCCGATGTCTTGATCGCCAAGGTCGACGCCGAAGCTGAGAACTCCAAGGCCCTTGCTCAGGAACAAGGTGTCTCTGGCTACCCTACCATCAAGTACTTTGCCAAGGGATCTACCGAGGCCCTCCCATACAATGGTGCCCGTGCTGAGAAGGACTTCATCGATTTCCTCAATGCCAATGCTGGCACTCACCGCGCTGTCGGTGGTGGTCTCGATACTACCGGTGGCACTATCGAGGCCTTCAACGCTGTCATTGAGAAGTTCAAGGACTCATGGGCCGACGGAGCCGAGGAGGCCAAGACTCTTGCTGCTACCCTACAGGACAAGTACGCACAATACTACGTCAAGGTCTTCTCAAAGATTGGTGCCAACAAGGAATACGCTGAGAAGGAGCTGAAGCGTCTGCAAGGCCTCATTGCCAAGGGCAACCTTGCACCTGAGAAGATGGATGACTTGATGAGCAGGAGCAACATCCTGAGGAAGTTTATTGGTGAGGAGGAGAAGACCGAGTTGTAGACGACTCGAGTTATGTGGTGATGGATGATGTTGGGGAGATGTTTATACCATTGGCGTGGATGCGTTATGATAAATAGGATAAGAATACATATGGTGCAAGAGCGCCACAAGGAAATGACAAGAAAGAACATGGATGAAGCAGTTTGTAAATATCGAACTGAACATCAATTTGCAAGCGCTGTAAATGCATGTTATCGACCTTCTAAACTCCGACCTTCATATAAGCCGTGAAAATCCGCCCTTGACACTCGTGAGCTTCCCATCCAATACCAAACCCATCAATTTCATTTGCCCGATCCACTCCCCTTACTCCCATCCCCACTCTGAATCGTAGCCTCGAGATTATCGAGTCGTCTCGACATATCATCCACTAAGAAAACACAAACGAAAAATCATTAGCCATTCATCCACCCGCAATTAATTTTTCTTTGAACAGGGAGCCTTCTCTCTGTAGTGTTAATTCTTACTTTTTGAAAGCAACTCGCCACTTATCGAGTTGAATTTCGTATTCAGTTGGTTGAGCAAGTCATCTACTACGGCTGTGAGTTCGCCTGATGCTTCGGGGTTGTTTGAAGAGACGGACTAAGTGGGACGTTGGTGTTAGCTTGGGGTATTGGGGTTTGGTCGAGTGGGGGGAGGGAAGACGTACTGCGGTGTCGCTTTGGGAGCGGTCGCCTAGGGGTTGCGGGGTTGCCATGATATGAGTTGGTTTGAAAAAAATAACAGTATATATGGATGGTTTGAAGTAGCGTGTTTTTGGGTAGACCGGGGACTTTTACTCGATAGCCGCAATGACGACACGAGATGTGTATATTGCGGGCGAGCGGGCGGTGTGAAGGGGGGGGCGCAACACGAAAGCACGTGCTCTTGCTTTCGGACGCCGCGGTCAGTTTCCTATTTTGTCAAGGCGGTGAGTAGCGCTAGCGTGTACGCTAGAAATTGCTGGTTTTCTGCCCTTGGGAGCTTGTGGAACTGAAATTTTGGGCGAGGGAAAGAAGCTTGGACACTAACTTTTTTTGTTCCTCCGCGCCAGGATTGAACTTCAGTCTTTGCGATATTACAAACTTCTTTTCTGATTTCGTCTTTTTGTTCCGCGCAAAACACGACAACCATGGGGAAAAGCAAGCTCAAGACTGCGCTTATTCACCAGCAAGGGCGCAATGTTAAGCTTGAGAAGCAGCGCAAGCATGAGAAGCAGGTGCAGAAGCGAAAACAGAAGCGTGATGGGGATGAGGCGCATGAGGATGACGAAGAGGGAGGAGTGCCGCTGGATGAGGTAGAGGTCAAGGTCAATGGCAAGGCGAAGAAGGATAAGAAGGATAAGAAGGAAGGCAAGTCGCCAAAGGTTGCGCCCGCCATCAAAGAAGTCGAGTGGGAGACGGAGGGTAGCGAGGACGAGAGCGATGACGATGAGGCGTCTGAGCGACCTGCGTTCGACCTTTCGCATCTTGACGACAGCGAGAGCGATATCAGCTCGGATGAGGAGGAGATGCAAGCTGAAGACGACGAAGAAGGCGAGGACGAGGATGAAGAGGAGGATGACGAGGATGACGAAGAAGACATTGCGCTTTCAGATCTCGACTCCATCGCCTCGGAAGACAAGGGCGATATCATCCCTCACCAACGACTCACAATTAACAACACCGCTGCCCTTACCGCCGCCCTGCACCGCATACAACTGCCCTACTCGAAGCTTGCCTTCTCAGAACACCAATCCGTAACCACAGATGAGCCCGTCGAGATTCCCGATGTCGAAGACGACCTCAACCGCGAGCTCGCATTCTACAAGCAGTGCCTATCCTCTGTCAAGGAGGCACGACAAAAGCTCAAGAAGGAGGGTGTGTCCTTTTCACGACCGGCAGATTACTTTGCAGAGATGGTCAAGAGCGATGAACACATGGGCAAGATCAAGCAGAAGTTGATTGATGCTGCGGCTGGCAAGAAGGCGGCTGCCGAGGCGCGCAAGCAGAGAGACTTGAAGAAGTTTGGCAAACAAGTCCAGGTTGCAAAGATGCAGGAGCGCGCAAAGGAGAAGCGGGATACCATGGAGAAGATTAGCACCCTCAAGCGAAGTACGTTTTGGCGTCCACTTGCAAAGATGTATACACTAACAAATATGACAGAGCGACAAGGTGCAGACATCACCTCCACCAACGAAGAAGACCTCTTTGACGTCGCCGCCACAGCTGAGGACTCCAAGTCTGATCGTCGCGCCGGCCGCGGTGGCGCCGATGGTAAAGCGTTCAACGCCAAGCGCCAGAAGAAAGATGCAAAATATGGCTTCGGAGGCAAGAAGAGGCATTCCAAGAGCAACGATGCGCAGTCTAGTGCCGATGGTCGGGGTTTCTCTGCCCGCAAGATGAAGGGTAAGCCCAGCGGTGGCGGCGGTGCGAGCAAACGGCCAGGCAAGGCGAGGAGAGCGAAGATGCATTAGGCGACTCTGAAGGGTGGGGGCACATGCATGTGTATAGGCGCTTTTGGCGTTAATAGGGCTTATTGAGAAAAGACGGAAAAGAATGTATGTATTATGTTGAACCTTTTTTGGTAACAAAAGGACGAGAGGTCTTTTCTCTTCGTACTATCATATCCCACACCAGTGCGAAGCAATGGAATTGACAGTATTCAAGCCATTTTTGTTTTCGGAAGTGCTCAGGGACTGAATTCAAAAGCAATTGGCTTTTACGACCATTTCATTATTCAGTATTTCTCTTCGTTTCCCATTCTCACCACTATCTTCCCCCTTGCCCTACCCGTTCTCAACTTCTGATACGCTTTCGGTACATCTTCAAACTCATAAACCTCATCTATCACCGGCTTCACCTTTCCACTCGCCACCAGCTTTCCCAGCGCGGTAAAGTCGTCAAAGTTCGTCAGAGCAAACCCAAACGAAAACGGGCGCTGCCCACCACCCAGCCATGTCGGAACCAAAAACCGGAATGCGAGGTCGTAGAGGAATGAAAGACTGACTTGCGATCCAACCTGTACGTACTTTGCCTCAGGCTTCGTGAATGCAGGAGCCTTCCAGTACAGTTCTGATGGATGCCCAACATTATCCAGAATCATATCATACTGCTTCGACCCACTTGCAAGAACAGAAGCGACATCATTCATCCGATAATCAATCACCTCATCCGCGCCCAGATCCTTGCAAAGCTGCACATTCGCACCTACAAGTCATTAGCACACTCCCGCTGTAACCCCAACTTCGCACCACGCATACATACCTGAACAAGTCGCCGTAACATGACACCCCAACGCCTTCGCAATCTGCACCGCAAACGTGCCCGTCCCCCCAGACCCCCCATTAATCAACACTCTATCCCCCTCCTTCACATTCCTCGTAAGACATTGATAAGTAACCAACCCACACACCCCCATGGCCGCCGCACTCTCCGCCTCCACCCCCTCTGGCATCGGAACCGTACCCACCCTTGAACCCACAATGTACTCCCCCAGCGTCCCGAACTGACATTTGGGCTCCAACTTCCCGAACACCATCTGCCCGACTTTGACAGCGCAGTCTGCGCCTGTGGAGACGACGCGACCGGCGAAATCGAGCCCTGGAGTAGCGGGTTTGCGGATAGCGAGGCGCGAGATGAGGGGGAGCTCAGCGAACTTGTAGTCGACTTGGTTGAGGGTTGCGGCATACACGCGGATTAGGGATTCGCCTGCAGATAAGGGGTGATGGGATGTGGGAAGCGGGGCGGATTCGTTGATTTGGATTGCGGATTCGAGGGTTGTGGTGCAGGTTGTCCATTGCCAGGCGCGCATTGTGGTAGGGAGGGTGGTGGTAGTGGCGGTAGATACGCCGGTTGTGGTAGTTTGTGACATTGTGGATTGTTTTTCTTTTGGTTGGAAGGATAGGGAAATCAAATTTCGAGTTTTTTCTTTCTTGCATGGATGCACGATATCATATATAATCTTGTTTTTTTGTTGGTCGTGAAGCAATACTTTTGGCGCTAGGTAATCGGATCCCCACACGGCGAAGTTGCGAAGTTGGTCATGGTGTAATGTTTTAATGGGTATTGACATGCATATATCGGTAGACGGTTTGAAGGGGATTTCCTACGCTTGATATTCGGAGCACTATGGGGAAAAGAAGGAAAAGGATAGCGTGATGGCGTTGTGGGTACATTGAGGCGTTGTAGAATTGCCGACGCTAACCCCGGACTTCCTGCATATGTAGCGTACGCTAGGCACGGCCACTAATACCGGGCCTCTTCTTTCACATAACGGATGTGTTGTATAGAATAAGGTTTTGAGGCTTTCTAGTTCCGTAGTATGCTCATTCATCTTGTTATGTGCGTTAAAGTCACCAATTTGCAATACTTTAACCACTAGCGGGAAGTAGCACCATGCAAAGCAACCTACAAAGTTCATAACGTCTTCCTACCCATCCGGCACAGAACTGTTCTTAAAAAAAAAGAGATATGAAATCGCCCGTCCCCATGTATTTCTCCCAAGCAGAATACTTATGTGGCTAGATAATACAAGCTCCGCCTTAAAAGGTCGAGATTTTCGCTTCAAATCTGCTATTCAACTATAGTGTTCATATTTGACAAGCAGATATAAAGACAAGCAACTTGTAAATGATTTATGAGACCGCAATTCAACTGCACGTTAATACAACGGTCAAGGTTGTGATAGATATTTTAACATTTTCTATGAAAAAGAAGGACAGTGTAACCTTACTGATACTATTTCGCCGTGATGGCGGCTTTTTCGCTCTGTTGCATTTTGCGTGCAGCGGCATATATCTTACCCATTTGCTCGCAGTATTGCTCGACTTCGTTCTCTTCGTCCCCTAGGAGTCCATATTAGCAGCTGGTTGATTAGCTTGTGGATGACCTTACCAGCGTATTCACTTATGAGGTAAACAAACTCTGCAGTCTTGAGAGCGCCAACATCAACTACTGAAACGCAAAAGATGTCTTGTGCAATTGGTCAGTCAAGTGCACTATGAGATGGAAAAATTCGAACGCTTACATCCTAGGACACCTTTATCAACCGTCTTGAAGCCTTCACTATGGAAGTTCCATCGCCACATCTACCATTGTTAACACAAATTCTGTTTATTAGTAGATTGCAACTTACTCTAAGATCAATTCGGATGATTGCGTTGTGGTGCATGTAAATGAAGTATTCACTTGCATCTGTGACGCCGATTTCCGTATTGCCGAGGAACTGTTTCAGTGCAGTACCTACAACTTTCTAGATCCCAAGAGTTTAGCTAGGTTATAAGCTTATCAAGCCAAGACATACCTTAAATCCATTGGCGAGTTTCTCTTTCGGACTGCCTCCTGTAGCAGCTCCAAAAAAGTCATCGATAGCACCACCAACTTCATCTGCAGGCTATAAAGAAGCCACATATCAGCACTGAGGGAAGAAGTCACCTAGGCCACGAACATACTTTATCGGAAATCTTGCATGTTGAGAAACGTTTTTTGCGAAGGGCACGGATTCCGGGCACTTCGGTCTTCGCTGTATTATCTGCATTCAAGAATTTCCTAGCATCAACTCATAAGCAATTGAACCCTTTGAGCTTGAGACAGTTTATACTCACTCTGTGATCTCACTCTCAAATTTGTCTAGGACTGCATTGATCATCTTTTGCAACATTTCCAATTCTTGTTTGGCGTCAGCCTCCTTCTTCTTATCCGCCTCCTTCAACATATCGGAAATTGTGTTTCCCATGGTGTTGGGTGGATCTGTTGTATGAATGGAATGAGTAGAAAGTCGGTGTTAATTTCACTGGATGATTAGGGAACTGATAGAGAAATCGAAAGAAAAGAAAAGTACTCAAAGGCCTCCACCCCCCTTATATGGGCGTATTCGGACGTGGATCTAGCCACATCTATATAGATCACAGATTCCACAAGTCGCAACTTCGCCAATTGAGGATAGATTGCGAGCCGTAGTTCTGTTTCCCATGCAGGTAACTACAAGCCACGACTCCCAAGAGCGCTTAGTTCACCACTGAACCATAACTACGAATCACTATCTGCGGGCTTAGATCGTCCTCGGTAAACTAACAGTCACGTGTAATATTTCTTGGCTCTCAATTTTCTAGTACAGCCCGCCCCGATGCAGCCTGGTGCAGATTTCTTTGGTGGGATCCCTCAGCTTAGTCGGTGACGCCCAACCCCATACTTAGTACTCGGCAAACCGGCGAAGAAATTCTAGAACATTGTTGGACTTCTTGGCTCATATCTCGCGAACAGGCTACGGATTGGGCTAGTCTGAGCCAATCATGATTGACGCTGATCATCGTGATGGTGTAGTGATTGCGGGCATTAAATTGCATCTAGCAAGCCGCGTGCCCAAATCCTGAGCTGGAGCTCAAGCCTAGAGTTCTTGCCCTTGAATGTCAATGAAAAACTGAGTCATTGATCGTTTTGGCACCATTTTCGGATTGTCGATCGCGGGATGACTGCGCTATTGCTACGTGTGGACAATCATCACTCAGAATATCTTTAGACGGTACGTTTCATATTTCCAAGTACGATATGAGCACGCTAATCTGTTTGATATGCTACACTTACATTATCAACGGTTTTAACATAGACTATGGGCTGCAGCGACACAGAACAGTTCACGCAATTGCGGGCGGCAAGGCCGACAGGCTGGACCAATCCAGCCCGCATAGCGTTGAAAGAGAACCTCTTTTAGGTGGTGGCACTCGGTCATGCCCTTCTCATTTCTTAAAGTAGTAACGACAAGTATTGGATTCAGCTCATATCTATCCATTCGGTCCTAGCTCACGGCCGCTTCGGTACAAGTATATATCGCTTAGGGAAGTTCGTTCTGTTAGCGCTTTGCAGGGATCTTAAGTGTGAATTCGCTTGCGCAAGGACGGAGCTGAGAGTATGGCGTATTATTACCCTGGTTCACATGACCTCGCGTGCTCCGAGTGTCTCGACTTGACCGATGCGGGTCGTGAGACTTAAGAGGAAAAAGAGGGACTGGTGTAAAATTTAGTGAATGTTCCACACTCGAGTCTCAGCACTGCTTCGGGAAGCGATTTCATAGCTCTTGATCTAAGTACCTAGTGGAATGATACTCGGAACATTCTCAACCATATTGTTGATTCATCATAGCCGATAGTCAATTAACATCAGCCTCAATTAATGTACGCTCCTCTCTTCTCTATCATGATAAGCTACTAGCTTGAAGTAATTGACGATCAATCCTAGCACCCCAACACCATGAGCAAATTCGCCCCCGATAACCCAGAGTCTGTAAGCAAGGCCATGCTAAGCTGGGCCCGAGAAAACAGCCACAAAGTCGGCCGCATAGCTGCTCTAGACTACGGCTGGGAGGCCTGGGTACAAGCCGATCTAGGCTTATACCTATCTGTAGAAGCCAGCACGACCAAAGCAATCCTACGACGGGAAGAGACCCCATATGACGATGGCAGGCGTGTAGACCTAGGTATCCACGGACCCGACGACACTCCCTGGCACTGGATCGAAATCAAGACCCAAACGCCCAACCAGACAAAGAAAAAATTCTTGGAAAATCTAATGGCCGATTGGAAAAAGCTTGACAATGTTGTGGTGGGCCAGTATCACGCGCGGCTGTGGGCTGTGGGGTTCTGGCCGAATGATGGAGAAGGGAAACCGGAAAACTTCGCGAATTGGGGTTTCGAGGTGGCGAATGATATGTATGTTTTATACAGGACTTGGTACAACCCCAAGTTCTCGAAGCTCTAATCGGGGGGCTCAACGAAGCTAAGTCTTTAGTATCACTTAATTAGACCAATATGACATATTATACATGGTCACCAAATCAACGTTTGAGATCAACTATGCTTTGCCTTTGCACTTTGCACTTTGCACTTGCTGCACCATTGGGCTGTTGTCCCCTCCACCTTTCCCAGACCATTACATAAGCCTACTTGGTGAACAATGTCTCGCCCCTCTCCTTTTCTACAAAGAGGTTTTGAACGTCGTACCATCCTTCTCCTGCCCGATTTTTTGCCTAGACTCTCTAGACTCCCGACTGTAGACTCTTGCTTACCCTTAACACTATTATCTTTCTTCTGAAAAACTTTGCGTGTTGTGTTAGCAATAAGGTCGTACCAGATAGGCTCTCCTGGTGGGTATTCCTTTATGTTTGGCTTAACATAGGGAGACATGTTAAGAGATATAGTTAAGAAAGTAACAATAACAAGGTTAACGTATTTGGTAAGCGAGTGAGCCACCTTACTAACGTTTTGCACCTTTGAAGCTGCACAACTCAACAGCGTGATAATCTAGTATATAGATAGTGATAGTTATACTAAATTAAGTAGAGCCTAATATATCCTTTTTACATGTACGTGAGTTATGGCCAGGCTCTCTGCATCTAGTGCAGGGCGTGAGAGCCTGACGGCTGGGACCTGGTCGTTCTCCTCCATGACACTCTTCACGAGCAATCTGGTGATCGGCCCAATGCGGGAGACGATCAAGCTGGTTGGGAGAAGTGGCCATGGTGGAGGTGTTGCAAATGCAAGGTTCGGCTCTTGGTGACCAGCTGAGTGAATAGTTTCAAAACACTCCCTATTTCCCCAATCGCTAAGGTTTTCCCCTTCAAAATTCTGTTGTGTTGATGCATTCACCATCCAAAGGCGTATGCTGGGATGCCCAGAGGCGGGGTGGCTAGCGTGGCTGTAAGTGGCACAGTCCGTCGGTCCGATTGCCGTAGAGATCAGCGGACGCGTTGCTGTTCGGTGCTCCGATTCTCTCTGCAATTCCATCCGTCCCCACCTCTTCCACACTAAACTCGTCTCATGCATGGAGCACCGAAGACCAAAGGATGTCCTGTCGTGCGACCGCTGTCGCGCAAAGAAGCTCAAATGCTCTAAGGAATCACCCTTTTGCACTGCCTGTGCCCACAGCGGTGCGCAATGTCATTACAGTGGCAAGATCATCAGATCACCGCTGACCAGGGCGTACCTTACGAGCGTAGAGAAACGGCTACACAGTCTGGAAGCGCTGGTCGCTCAGCTGGTACCGGGTGTCGATATTGAAGAGCTCCTTTCTTCTCCCAATGCAACCATCCCAACCCCACAGATTATCCAGTCGCGAACACCAGATGCTGCGCTCAGCCCTCAGGGCAGCACTAAATCTAACTCAAATGAACCTCCTCTTCCTGAAGCTGTGCCGAACGATGTTGACGGATTTAACTGGAAAGAAGAAGACCTCAACATAGACGGGCTAACCGATGGCATGGCCGCCCTTTCCGTAGAGCCTACAGGGGTAGGATACCTAGGTTAACTCACCCACACCAACAAAAGCATATGGCGCTAACGTGATTCAGGCTCAACTTCTGGTGTCGTGTTTCTGCGTTGCTTGCTAGACTGGGCTGGATTCTTACATCAAACTGGAGCACCACCTCAGAAACATGCCGTGGAACCGTCTTCGTCTTTCAGAAAAATCCTGGCCTCGTCGCACGTCTCGCATTCTGCTCTCGTCAAGCAGCTTGCGGGCAGCCTGATTGACGCATACTTCCTCAATTATCATGTTGTGTACCCATTCATTCATGAAGCAACATTTCGCGCGCAGTACTACGAAGTGGTTCCGCGGCCACCGAAAAAGTCTTGGGACATGCTATATCACGCGATTATAGCCCTTGGTGCGTGGACTGTGAATCATGACCAAGTCGGCCTTGAAGACTATCTGTACCGCCGAGCGCTCACGGTTGGCCAGGATGAATCGGTGTTGGAAGCCGCCAGCCTGTCCTCCGTCCAAGCACTTGTATTACTGAGCAATCTTAGCCAGAAACGTAACAGCCCAAACACAGGATGGAATCTGCTAGGTCTCGCAGTGCGCACGGCACTGAGTCTAGCTCTTCACCGAGAGCTTCCGCATTGGAATATCAGCCTAATCGAACGCGAGTCGAGACGCAGAGTTTGGTGGGGCTTGTATGTGTTCGACAGCGGAGCCTCTACGACTTTCGGACGGGCAGTCATGTTACCTGATCAAGATTCCATGAGCGTACACCACGCTCTCAACATAAACGACGAGGTAAAGTATCCCGTAGGTTCAAAGAGGAGTTATACACAATTGACCAGAGTCAGGCACTTACTCCTCAAACTACTCAACTTCCCATCGAACTCGATACTCCAACAATTTATTCTGCACTTCGTGAACAGAGTAGCTTCCACATGCACACCAACCACATCACAAACAGGTTGTTGGCTGAACCTAGTTTGTCAGCTGAAGCAGCACTCGCATTCAATACTACCGTGGAGGCATGGGCGCACATGGTACCCTTGTACTTTCAGTTGTCACATCCACCATACATGCCAGCCCGATGGTATGTTTTCGCAAGGTCACGACTATGGTGGAGGTTCTGGAACCTCAAAATCATCATCTTTCGACAAATCCTGCTTCGTCGTGCAATTGCAGAGCGCAGCCAGATTCCTGATGAGGCAACCCAATCAGCTCAAGACGAGTGTAAGCGGCTTTGTTTGGATGCTGCGCATTCTACTGTCACTTCGATACACCAGTACACAATGAGTGAACCGAGTAGATTAGAAGGATGGTACGCAACGTAAGTATAGTGGATATCGATCACACCAAGGGTTGAGAACTAATTGGTTGTTCTAGATATTTCCTCTTCCATTCCGCTTTAGTCATCACGCTCTGCATAATCAGCTTCCCAAGTGCCAAAGAAATGCCTACCTGGCTTGAAGATGTGCGACTAGCCAGGAAGACATTCCGTGAACATCTCGTTACAGATTCACTCTCAGCAAGATGCGTCGCTATTCTTGACCAGGTGGTATCCGTTGATGATTTCAGTTCGGGTACGCTCCAGAACGTTGAGCTGGATAAAGTAGCTTTAAGCACTTTCCCATGGTCTCTTGAGTCCAACGAGCTGTTCACCTCTTTCGACTGGGACTTGTCCACTACGCAGTTCTAGAGTATTAGTCTCCTTTAGCCTCCAGTGTGCGCTTGGATCTAAAATCCTTGTCAATTCTCAATGATCACGTCTGGTTCGATGAGCAATGACCGTATCAACTCGCCATTGGGGATATCGTTCTCTTCAGCTCTGGCAATGGCTGCCGCTTTCGAGGATTCAATTCCAGCAGCAAGGTGACGCTGGGCTAAGCGATCACGAACGACTTCCACGGGTGCATCCACAAACCACCTATGCAATGTCAGTCAAGGTGTGTGGCTGTAATGAGGAACAACTACGCGCCTCTCATCGCAAATCTCTGCGATTTCATCCCAAGGCTTTTGTTTCAACAGTGTGTAGTTGCCCTCGACGATGATGAGGCGTGTGCGGGTAGAGATGCGGATACCATTCTCCACAGGATCTTTCGCTGCATGATCAAAGGTCGGCGCAGTTATGCACAAGTCTTCTTCGCCATCTGCAGTGACAGGTGCAGCCTTGAGCGATTTTACAAGCCTGACGCATCCTTCTGCATCAAAAGTGAAAGGAGCACCGCGTCTCTTGAATGCTACATCTGCATCCGCAAAAGTCGACAAAACTTCGCGAGTATAGTGGAAACCGTCCTGATATTGTCAGAAACCCTGACGCTTGCTGCGATTGCCACTTACCATTGGCACTATGGCAATATCTTTGATGCCTCGCGCCGCTAACTCGATCAAGAGCGCATGGGATACCGTTGACTTGCCCGCTCCTGGCACACCCGCAAGCGCAACGAGCATGCGTTGACTGGGGTTGGAGGCTTGGCGAGCGAGAAGCTTTTCCGTGCGCTTAACCAAGTCTAGGATAGCTACAGGAAGCTTATCCACGCGAGTGTCGCTCGTCATCTCCTGAGGCTGGAACGGATTGATGGATTGTTCAATTAAAAGACAGAAAATCACAAGAAGGTTAGGTGAGACGTGGTAATTGCAAAAGTTGGGTCAAGATGATCGAAACATCAACGTCACGCGAACCTGTTCTTTGCAAGATATGCTTCTTGTGGGGTTCGGACCATAGTAGTCCGAGCGCAAGTGATGTTCGATCCCCAGTTTTAACGTATGAATCAGGTAATTCTCTCCATGCGGGGAAAATTTCAGACAGAACTGCATTGCATTGCATGCTAGTGGAGCAGATTTGGTGTTGCTGTATGGTCGGACCGTTGTGGTCCGAAGTCGTATGACTGGTGGTGCCTTTGTGATATTTCAAGGTCTTTCGATGATGAGCATGTATATATATGGACGATCAGGTGCTGCGATGCTCCATGTGCTTTGCGTCTTTAATTCCTTCAAGCAAGTCAATTGACGCACCGTCGGTGAGCCTGCGAACATGTCGGATGCAGGATATGCAGTCGACTCTGGGGCTGCCCAGAAGAAGAGTGTGTACAAGGAACTACGACAAAACCCATACCTCCTCGCTCTATCAGCTGTAAGATACCTTTTCTCTAAATCCTAGATTTTGACTAAAACTTTCAGTTTGCCTCACTCGGCGGCTTTCTCTTCGGCTATGACCAAGGAGTAATTTCTGGGGTCCTCACCATGGAGTCTTTCGCTGCAGCCTTTCCAAGAATTGCCCTTGACAGTTCGTTCAAGGGCTGGTTCGTATCAACTCTGCTACTCGCTGCTTGGTTCGGCTCGCTCGTCAATGGCCCAGTGGCAGATCGCTTTGGGCGCAAAGGCTCGATCATAATTGCCGTCGTCATCTTCACTATTGGCTCTGCGCTTCAGGCGGGTGCTATCAATATTCCAATGGCTTTTGCTGGTATGTAACACTCCACCTCCAACAAATTATGCATGAATAAGCTAATTAACATCTCGATAGGCCGAGCAATTGCGGGGTTCTCAGTCGGCATGCTCACCATGATCGTCCCCATGTACATGAGCGAAGTCTCCACAGCCGGTATCCGAGGCACACTAGTTGTCTTACAGCAACTCTCCATTACCCTTGGTATCCTCGTCTCCTACTGGCTCGAGTATGGGACTCAGTACATTGGCGGGACGCGGTGCGCGCCAAACATACCCTACACGGGCGGCACGGCCTCGAAACCCAGTTTCCATCCCATCAACGACGTGGGTCCGAATGGATGCACCGGCCAGAGCGACGCCTCGTGGCGTGTCCCCTTTGCCATCCAGATATTTCCTGGTCTCGTACTTGGAATTGGCATGTTGTTCTTCCCTGAGTCGCCGCGATACTACTGCAAGCGTGACAACGAGAATGCGGGTCTCCATGCACTCGCACGAGTGCGACGTGCCAGTCCCGACGACGAAGAAGTACAGAAAGAGTATCTAGCTATCAAAGCAGAAGTCATGTTCGAAGAGACGTATGCCCGGGAGAAGTTCCCAGGCAAGTCAGGGGTCTCGCTCTACCTAGCCGGATACTCAACCCTCTTTTCCACCTGGCCCTCCTTCAAGCGCACAGCTATCGGCTGTTGCGTGATGTTTTTCCAACAATTTATCGGATGTAATGCGATTATCTACTACGCTCCGACAATCTTTGCCCAGTTGGGGTTATCAGGAAAGACGACGGGGTTGCTAGCAACTGGTGTTTATGGAATCGGTAAACTTCATCCCCACCAACCCTCATCCTAAACACTTTCAGATGATGAAAAAAACCCCCTCTTCCACTAACACGTTAAATAGTAAACACCCTCTCCACCCTCCCCGCCCTCTTCCTCATCGACAAACTGGGGCGCCGCCCCCTTCTCCTCTGCGGCGCAGCCGGAACCTGCATCTCCCTCTTAATCGTCGGCGGCGTAATCGGGGGCTACGGCTCAACTCTATCCTCGCACCCCGCGGCAGGCTGGACAGGCATCGCCTTCATCTACATATACGACATCAACTTTTCCTATTCCTGGGCGCCCATCGGCTGGGTCCTCCCCTCTGAAATCTACAACATCGGAAACCGCTCAAAGGCCATGTCGCTAACGACGTCTGCGACGTGGATGTGTAATTTCATCATTGGGCTTGTGACACCGGATATGCTGGACAGTATTGGGTTTGGGACGTATATTTTCTTTGCGGGATTTGCGCTCGTGGCGTTTGTGTTTACTTGGTTCTGCATCCCTGAGACGAGAGGCAAGAGTCTGGAGGAGATGGATGCCGTGTTTGGGGATAGCACGGCACATGAGGAGAAGATGAGGCTGTTTCACATTGCGCAGAGTCTGGGTATTCGTGAGGCAGAGGAGGCGGCGTTGGATGAGAAACCGGCCAAGGCGTTGCAGAAGGAGGATGTGGAGATGTGATGATATCTACGTGAGGGAATATGCGTAGTGGCTATGATTTGAGCTGGCTGTGTCTTCTCAATAGTGACTAGTATAAGAAGTTATCTAATTATTTCTAACAAACTCAACAGTACAGCCTGCAAATAAGAATGCATTCAAAAACATTACTTGCTTGCCTGTATCAACATCGCAATCACCATTGCCATATCTAAACAAAGCCTCGGGATCAGAAGTATGTATTTCCAGGGTTGCTTCTCTCCTCCACAGGAGGGAAGAAACATGTTCAATGCTACACAATACAAAGTGGGGAAAGGAAGCATGCCGCCACAAGTCAACAGCCCCCACGCGAACCAAGATAGACAGCTAGACAAAAAGAAACAAAGATAAGCGAGTGCCGCAAACATATCCAAAGAATCGGAGAAGAAAAGAAAAAAAGGGGTATTGGAGATGTGGTCATGTAACGAATAGTGTTGAAGTCCCAAGCCCACCTTGACCATACAGTCAACCATAGGGAAGGATTAGAGGACACAAAAAGAAAATCAAAGTAGAAAAACAAATGTCTGGTTAGCTCGTCCAGATAGAATAATTCCTCAGCCCCGTAAGTAGAAAGACAAAAAAAGGCGGAACCAGAATAGAGGAGCAAGAACGGGAAAAGGGGAGGGGGGCATAGCGAAAAAACAAAAGCGTACAGACCCAAACCAGAAACCCCAATTGGATTCCGAAATCATCCCACATGATGTGTCCCAGGTCTCGAAGACAACGCCGGTCGAGGAGAAAAAAGAAAGAAAGAAAATCCAGTCCTTCGGGTATACTAACAATGATGAATGACTCCGGACCAGCCTTTACTCCTTCAAAACATTGCCCCTGCGCTCAGTCTGCCATTGGCGCTGGTACTGCGCGTCGTGCTAGCTTTACTAGCTGCACTTCCCGCTCTTTTCATGGACTTCTCCATTAATCCGTTCAGCAAGCGGTCGAGCTCGCCACTCAAGCTTTGCATTGTCTTCATTTCCTCGGCGAGGTAATCCTTCATAAGGGGATGGTCGGGGCCAACTGGCACGACGCCCGTAGTGTCGTTGATAACGACGAGCATGTCTCGAATCTCGCTACCGTCGTCGAGGTAGGCGCGCAGTGAAGCGTCAGACCAAGCAGGAAGTATTGTGCTCTCTGAAGAAGCAGGCGGAGAAGGCACTGATTCTTCAACAGGAATGGGAGCGGGCCTCGAAGGGGGAGGAATAGTGGAGTTGGATGTGACATGTGTAGGCGAGGTATTCCCTGAATTAGATCGTGGGGCATTAATACCCTCCTGGGTGGTTTTCATGGGACTGTCATCGGGTGTTGGTGTCGATATCGGCGAGTTGGTTTCTTGGCTTGAGCTGTCTGTAGATAGACCCGGGGTATGGTGAGAGTCCATCTCTCTGTCTCTGTCTGCCCCGTTTTCTTTCTGAGCTACTTGTACGTCGGCAACAGAAACATGTACTGGTGATTCTGAGAGACGCTCAGTCGATTCTGATTTATCGGCTCCTCTGGTCTTACGTTCGGAGTCGGGGTCCGCAAAGGGATCGCTGCTCTCATCCGAGTCGAAATCGTCCAACTGTACACGTTGCTTGGCCTTTGTGACCTTTTCGCGCTTCACTTCTCCATCTGCTTGAGACTTGATCATACCGCTGAAGGGGTTCTTTGAGGCTGTAGAGGTCGAAGCCGAGACAGAAGTTGCAGTCTGCTGCTCAGCTGCTGGTTGATCTTCATCTTCTTTTTCTGGAGGTACTAGGCGCATGGATGAGGTGGCTTGCCGTGTAGTTGACTCGTCTTCAACGTCCATATCATCATCCGCATCCATATCCGTAGGACTTTCTGTCTTCAAGATACCCTTTGTCTTTATCGGTGAGTCATCTCGGTGATTCGGGCGCTTATGCGCTTTGTTCTTGCTTGACTGTCTTAAGGGTGCAGGTGCTGTCACCTGCTCGTTGGATGGCCGCTCTACAAGTTCGTCCGAGGGTTTCGACTGCGGTGAGCTGCGATCCACCTCCTCTGCCTTGTCGACATCGCTATCAATGGAGTCCTGCGGGCCTTTGCCCTTCTTGTCCTTGCGCTTGAACAGTCCGCTAAGCATACCTGATTTCTTCTCCTTTTTCCTCTTGTCATCTTTCACCTTATCTGCAAAGCCGTTCTTCTCTAAACTCTCCAGACTTGGACCGCGTTCTCGAGAACCATTACTTAAAGGAGTCGAGTCATCGCGAAGTAGATTGGGTGTGAGTGTAATCTTGCGTGTTTCGGTGTTGTCGTCTTTGAAGAAAGAGTCGGTGTTGCGGAGAGTACCATTACGTGATACTTTGGGATCCAGCGGGCGATCCAGGTTGTCTTCGCTTCCTCTTTGTCCGTCCTGTTTGTTAGAGTCATCACTCGAGCGTCGTGCATCGCCCTCAGCTTGACCATTCGCATCCTTTCTTGTGCCGTTAACTTTGAGCGGCTGCACTTGCAGACCCTCGTCCTGAGACGAATCACCGGTCTGTGCTGTGGCTTGCTGCTGCTGCTGCTGCTGCTGTTGTTGTTGTTGTTGTTGCATCTCTTTGGGCTCGGGGCCTCCAAAAAGTTCACCCTCGCCCTCGTCGGAGGAGTAGTCATAGTCCGATGCCTCAACATAGGTCGGTGGTGCGAATTGTACCGTCTTTGCGTTCCTCCGCCGCATGGCCTTCTTGAGTGGATTTTTAGTCTTCTCGGCGGTATCGCCAAGCATCGTTGCAGACAGGTCAATATTCCTGTGCTTGTTGAGACGTGCTAAACGTTCTGTGGGGGTTTCAATGTGCTCCGCGGGCAGATAGCCTTGACTCGGTCAGCAAGGAATGGTGCGTCGGCCGTCGATACTCACCGATACTGTTATCCTTGGAGACCCGTACCAGCCACCAGTAGCTGTTACTATCATCAAGCAACACCATCGTGTCACCTTTGGTTGCATTTGCTTGACCCTCGACGGTAGCAACGAATGTGTGTAGAGCGTAGACGAATTCAAAATCGATGTCCTCTATTTCTCGTAAGCATTCGCCTCCCCAACCTGAGTCGATAAATCTGGAGTCATCAGAAAAGAAAGCGTCATTGGATGCATCATCGTTGTCTTGGTCCAGGTCCTCGTCCCAGGAATCGGCATCGCTGTCGGTAGTCCAAGAGCCGTCTTCATCGTCAGAGTACTGAAGTGTAGGTGGAGGCGTTCCGTTCAATGTCCGAGGTGGGCTGCGTGCACAATCCAGAAATGGGTCATCTGAAGTGCCAAACAAGGGCAGACTGATGGGCTTGAGCGTACTCCTGACTTGTTCCTCATCGAGTTCAGAGATGAGTGATGCTTGCGAATCATCCCTTATCATTTGTATGCGGCGTTCTATTACCCTGAAGTGCTTGGCTCTCGGGCTCATGCCCACCTCTGCTTCAGTGTCGTCCTTATTGTCCTTGTTGTCCGGGGCGGGAGTGGTCCTTGTCCAGGTATACTCACCACGATGATGCTCCATTGACGAGTTCTCCATAGACGAGGGCAAATGAAAAGGAATAGGATTTGATGGGAATTGACATATTGACAAAAGAGAGCTGTCGGACGCTGCGACCGTAAAAGGCCCTGTGGCATCGGCGACAGAAATAGGAAAATGATTGGGTGTGTTCGTGAAAGGAGAGGAAGAAGCGACTGTTGAGGGCATCGGCGAAGACTGTGGGGTCAGAGACTCCTGTCTTGCGGGCCAAGTCGCGGAATTAAAAGGTAGAAAATACCCACCATCGTCAATCGAAGGCGAACTCGAGATTTTGTCCATCATATCGTCGTCCATGTCTTCCTCCACGTCAGCATCCTGCATATCAGCATCGTCGTCACCAAGTGCGCCACCATTCAACCTCACAGCAGGTTCGTCATGCCCAGACTGGTGTCCCTTTGTGTTGTTTGTGACGGTGCGTTCGTCGTCGGACCCGGGGTCGTCTCGGAGCGTGCTGTTGCTGTGGACCCAGGCATCGTGCAGGCGCGCCTCTTCTGAGGAACGCTCCTTCTCTACATGGCGGATAGCGGCCTGCTGATGGGGGGCAGCTGGGCCTATTCCAAGAGGCGCTGGGTGCTCGGGCTGATGGGAGTGGTCTTGGGCGGTCGGGGATAACTTGTCCTGCAGGTCAATCGTGTCTACCGCCATGAATTAGCCCACGCACGTCGAATGGCACACGAGTTGGCCGTGTTCGTACCTGCTCTGATGATGTGAGGGCGCGTCATCTTAGCTCATGCCTCGCGGCGTGTTCAATGTTTGGAGGCTGGTGGGCGTTGAGCGGTAACCAAGCGAAGCGAGGCGCGGTTGGTCGGAGCGGGTTGCGCAGGGACTCAGTAAGCCCCTTCGAAGGTGCTTTGGCGGTGCAAACAAAGAGGGCGAGGTCGCGTCCGTCGTCCAGCGGCAGATGACAGGCGTCGCATGCGGTCGTAGGTAGTTTATCGAGGTAGAAGCGACAGTGTGGAGTTGAGGCGGCGCTGATGTCTGACGAACATGCGAGTTTCGGAGACGCCGTCGGCGGGGCGAGACAGGGCGAGGCGGTTCAGCCCAGTGAATAGCAATGCGGCTGTGCCGGGGAGGCGGTCGGGAGGAGGGGTTGGTCAGCAGCGGCTGGGATTCGAGGCGATGTGATTGATGGTGTTGGTGTTGTTGTCGTCGTCGTTGTCGTCGTCGTTGTGCCGCCAGGCAGGAAGGAGAGTGAATTATTTTGGCGTGTCGTCGATGGGTCGCTGCTTCCCCGAACGCACACGCCCCTGCCCTGTTCTGAAACACATCGTTTGGGTACGTTACACCACATTGGTGCGTCGCTAGCGTCGGCGCTAGCCTGTTCCTGCCTCCTCGACCTCTCAAAAGGAGTTGCGGCTCGGTCCTTTTCCACAAACGCTTCATGGCTGCATCGCCAACGCCTCAATCAAGCCCCTCGCTGCCGATACACCATCCTACTTGTGTACTTACATATGTATGTCCATGTCTAGGCGAGAGTTCCGCTTCTTCTGCACCCGGCCAAACACTGCTTTGGTAATCTGCAGCAAATGTCATTCACTTTGCTAGCCTGCCACATAATGCCTGTGCTGCGTCACATCAATCCAAGCCAGTGTACATATTTGTGGTTGCATGTCACGTGCCATCACCGAACCAAGGATCCCCAGCCTGCACTGTTTCTATTCTAATCGGGCGTTTCAATCAACAGTCTTAGAGCCAACCTAGCCGCAGTCACAATATTAATCCCAAGAGTACCACGTGCAACTGCATTTACCCAGGCATGTGTCCATGGTCTATGAGCTGGAACAGCCCCATTGCGAAACAATCAGACATCCTTGATACTTATTATCCAGCCAAAAAGTAAATCGTGCCATTTGTGCCATCACTCTGTTTGAGCCTCTGGGGTATAGTGTCGACGGCACTTATTCGCGGTTAACCTGAAATATTCAGCCATGCATTTTCTTGTATGATCCTTCTCCAATCGTACTTTGTGTTATCGGTAACTTCCTTTTTGTAGCCAGGAGAACAGCCACTGGATTGAATTTATGTGCCCTATTTGTAATCATGATATCTACTCTACATCTCACTCAACTATCTCCTTCTGACTTTTGTTTGAAATATGAAGAACCATCCCATTGACAGATTTGCCTATTGACAAACTTGCTTACCTGGTCTTCCATAATGACATTCGACCAGAGTTGATGAAAAGTCCATCCTAAAAGCAGAACATCTTCTGGGTCCCAACAAGCCTCGAACATACTCACCCTGCCATCTAACACCAATAACAGAAAGCCAAGCCATTCGAAAAATACCTGCCCTACCAGATTGAATTTGCCGCTTTCTGACGCTCTGATGATCAAGGCCAGATTACGTTTTCTGGCTCTACCAGCTTCATATATAGACCAATCACCCATTCTTGTATTAAGAGGTCCTTGCATTGGAACCTTATGTTCAACATTTCTAAGCTCCAGAACGCAACTGCTCTCCTACTTTTGGAATGACATAAACCGTTGACCGGAATGTCTCAAAGCTTCCGTAGTACCTCGTACCTCGAGCCCTCGCCAGTTACCATAGAGCTGATCATTATCATTAGGATAATACTGATTCCATCTGATTGTTTCTGGGGGCGTGCTCGAATGCAAGTCAAACGTTCGACGAAGAGACGCCTCCTCTCCTGTGATCTGAAAAGTGTGACACAACTCTTGTGTGATTACAGGGCCACACCGGTGTACAAGCCTCGTTACATCCAATGCAACTTCATAACGATCATTCCCATAATCAGCCTTGGGTTTCTGTCTATCTGGCCAATCTAAAAGAGAAAGTACGCCAAACAACTGATCTCGCGGATCACTGCACTGTACCTTCGCATCAAGCAACAAACCCATCAGGCTGTGTTTGGATGTTGTGCAAGCTAACTACAAGCGGTCAATCGGGAGGGTCTCAAGCTCACAGGCGCCCACTACCCAGAAAGACTTGTTTCGAAGATACCATAATCTGAACATCATTCTAACAGGCCAGGGAGTTCTTTCCGGTATTCTAAATCCAAATTCATGGTGTGCTTGAAGTAATCTCAAAGATCCAATGAGCATGTATAGGGCTAAGACATCTAGTGCTTCTTTTACAGCTTCTCCAAAGCAAAATGACACGCTACAAGCCAGATGCAGTTCCTGCATTATCCATAGATGCGTAAAATATGGCTGTCTCATGAATGAGCAGAACGATTGGTGTATGACTTGGCGAGCCCCACCGTTCATGGAGAGAAGGCTATTGAGAAGAATCCTTCCGGACACCAGAGGTGTGATAGTCGGCCAGTTCAATAAATCTAACTTGATCAAGTTGCCAATTTTTCTTAGCAATGAACGATGGTTCCCTATGAATTTCGAGAGAACTTTGCTATTGTTTTCGTGGGGTCCAACGCATGCCAGAGCGTGCTTCGCTCCCGAGTAGATTTGGTCCATGATTCCGACTTGGTGATTCTTTTCTTCAGCTGTTTGGTCAATGCAGATAGCATCCACCCATACATATTTACAGGCTTTGGTGGCAAAGGCTTGCTGGAGCGCGTACTTGCAGTTACGCAGCGCCTCGAGACGACTGCTGTTGAGCGTAATGTCTGTCGTCTCATTGGTATCGCTTCACACATATGATATTGCGTAGTAAGGCGGTGCCTCGTCAATGGGCCAGGTAGAGATCTTGCATCCAACGTGTTGTCCGAAGTCACCGCGAATGATGCAGAGTAGGTGGAAATGTGACTTATGTTCGGGAAGTGGTTGTATTTGTCTGACCTATCGACACGTGACTTGATATCTACAAACAACTTTACCCTCTTGACTCTATGAAATCACTTGAAGATCTCCTTCCACTATCGCATACAAAAGTGTAGCATGGAAGCCAATCGACTATTTTATTCTTCAACTCCAGACTGCAGCTCTTCACGAGTATCTATCATAACGTCCAAAAAGATGAAGCAATGGAGTTTTGAGTAATAAGCATATAGAAAGCATCGAGATGACGCTCTAGAAATTCTAACCACCCTGTCTCACCGCACTCCTTTCGCCTCAGCCAGCTTCCTCCTCTGTACCTCTCTCTCTTCCTTCTCCACATTGATATTGAAGCACTGACTCCTGATCATCTCGTAAAGCGCACCCGCAGTAACCCCCTTTATCGGCTGCCTCCACCTCCCCGTAATACGAGTCTCAAGCGCATCCGAATCGATTTGCGTACTATCATGAGCACGCAGCACAAAAACGATCGAGTGCCGGTACCTCTTCTCCACAACACCTACTCCATCTCCAGAAGACATATCCTGCGGTCCCCCATACGCAACCACCCTATGCCCACCCGCTCTCAACCTCTCATTCGACAACCTCTCCAACTGGCGTCCAACCAGCATCGTAGCTCCTTTTCTCCCCTTCCTTTCTACTTCCTTCTCCACATCAAACCAGTCAGCCCCATCCCAAACCTCCAGACCAGGCGTATCACCCACAACCACGCTGATCAATCCCAAATCCGCATGTGCCTCCGCAACAACCTTCTCCTCCCACCCCTCATACCTAAACAGCCTCAGCATCGTCGCCGTCTTGCCCTCTTCTTCCACGGGCATCTGCGCACACGGCCCCACGAATTGACGCAGACCCTTATGTTCGCCAGCAGGAAGCCCAAGCGCCGTAGATATACGACCTAAGGTACTCGAGCAGTGTTGTCCGACAAGTCCCCAAAACCGTTGCGCAGGCGCGCGTAAGATCTTGGGACAATATGCGAGCGAGCGGAGGGTGATGAATTCTTTTTCACCGGGTATCTTGGACCATCCTTCTTCAGAGCCGAGACGGTGTTTCCATTGGTGCTTCTCGGAGTCGGGAAGGTTGAAGAAGGCTTGGCCGGCAGAAAAGAGGTCTTGGTAGGCGATTTGGAGTGGGTGTGGCCCCGGTGGTGGGACATCAGAGAGCGAGTCTAGGGATTGAGTTGTTGGTGAAGTTTCTGGAAATGTGATTGTGGTCCACCCAAGTTTCAGTAAGGTGTCTTGGTGTTCAGGGAGGACGAGGGGAACAGGTGCATGGATGAGTTGCGGTCTGGTATCTTGCTCTTGCTCTTCTTGCGAATCTCTTTGCTTTGAGGTTGTATTTTTCTTTATGAGGAGACGTGAAATCATGTTCGAGATGGAAGATTGGTGTTCCGATGACCTTGGCGATAGTGTGGTAGTAGGCATGTTTTGGGTTGACAGCCTTTGATTGCCACAAAGCTATTAGGTATGTTCAGTTGATTTGTTAAATGGCGGTATAGTGCAATCAATTGCCAAGAATAAAATAATTCACTAGATTACAAGTACTGAACATCAAGAGCACAATAATGAGAGGTGGATATATGATGACGTCTTGTCTACGAAGCTAAGCCACACATACACAGCCCCTCTGGTCAGCCTACCGGTCAGGCCAGGCGCACCACGTGAATTATTGTACTACACGAACGAGTTACGCTGTGAGCGATATTATTGTGAGGCTATCAGCATACATACCAATTTCGGGATTTTATTCAGCTGTTTCTCACAGCCTCTGCCTGTTCTTGTCCCATAAATCTCTTTCTCTCAACACAAACCAATCGTACAACAGCGGCTTAATCTTAACGACTCCATCTTTCGTCTCGCAACCAAATTCCATCCCTGGCTTCCATGTGCCTCCTTCAGCACTGACTTTCATATGCGTCATATTCTCCAACCGACACATTGCAAGCCCTACGTCGCCAATACCAGCAACGAACTTACCAGTCGCACGTCCTTTCTTGATATTTCCACTTCCGTCGAGTTGTTTAATGTCGGTGCCATGTTCGGGAATAGCGGCTGATGTGGTGGTTGTGTAAAGTTCGACTGGTAAGATGCGTTTTCGTACGATTCCGGTGTGTTTTGTACGGATGGTGAGTTCTTGGCCAACATAACAGCCCTTTTTGAAATCTATGCCTTGAGAAAGGTCGATGTTGCACTCCATTGGTAGGGCACTCTCGCGGGGTATTTCAGTCTGTCCTTCTGGAATGCCATTTCGGTAACGTTGAAGGTGATATTCCTGAACATCTGCCGGCTGCGCCCCATCTACTATCGTTTGCACATTTGCATATACAAGATGGCGATGCATGTTTGGTGCGCGTGGATCTTTCAGGTTAGCAATGAGACCTTGAGTATTGGTTTGCTCAATTGCAGATCCCCAAGTCGCCCAAACGCGTACTGCATCCTGGCTAATTTCCTCAATCTGAATCTTACTCCTCAATTTATGGCGTTTCAAGTGCTTTTTTAATGCGTCCAGTTCACCTCCGTCTACCTCAATATAGCAAGCCCAGTGTCCCTTCTCTGCAACAAGCTCAGGCCATACCCATACAAAAATATCCCACAGTACTCTGCCTCGCGCATCTAGGAAGGCAGAGTAGAATGATGATTGACGGTCTGGATCAACATTGTTTGTTATCAGGCCTTGTAAAAACTTTGCGGTGTCGGGGCCGGAGAGGGCGATTAGGTGACGATGTGGCAGTGACGCAAAGCCTGAGCTCGTGGCATATGCAGCTTGGCTGGATGTTGAGTATTGACGGAATGTGGAGTTTCTCCGAGCTAATCCAAAAGTTGAATTCGGGTTTGCAGCTCGACTGCGAGAGTGTTGATGCGACGTTAATTGATGTGAGTCTTCACTGCGTAAGGATGCTGCGGTGCCAAGGTATCGTTGTACGCCAAAAGCTGGGCTGCGTGGATAGTGTACACTATTACGACATGCGTCACATATGTATCTTGCAGTGCGCCTGGGTGCGCTTAGAGTTAGAGCTGCCATGGGTGGTTGCGCAAGGGTGAAGTTTGGAGATGCAGTGAAGAACTCTGACGACATTCCTACTCGAGATGCCTCGGCATTTACGGAGTTAAGAACGAAGCCAGACAACAGCCTCTAAGCGCAAAATGACATCAACGTGTAGAGCAACAGAGTCTAAATGCACTATTGCAAAAGCCAGCTATGCAAAAACTGGCAGCTTATTCAAAATACATGCCCCCCGCTAACCCATGCGAAAGTATATCGCTTTCCGACGAACGCCAGTGCTCAAAGCGACAGCTTTTGAAACCCGAGCCATCATTGTGACCAATCAACCTCTATTCGTCTTTTTTACCTGTCAATCTCGAACGCTCATTCTTACCTCCCTTTGAGTTTTCAGCACCCGAGTCGTCACTGTCTTCATCACTGTCTTCGTCACTTTCCTCCTCCTCGCTTCCATCGCTACTCCACTTGTCATCCTCCCCAACAGCGAAAATTGTATCGCCATCAAGACTTTCTCTAGGAGGGTGAATAGGCTTTTGTGGTTGTGGCGCAGGTAGGGGCGATGCATCGCGTGCATGATCATTAGTGGACCTTTGCGCTGGATCATAAGAGGAACCCTGGTTCGGGCCCCCTTCCTCCTCGTCCAAGGAGTCTCTGAGTGAGGCAATCTCAAAGCCTTCATCATCCTGAGCAATCTGAGAGTGGGTCAGTATCTCTGTACGGAGCATGTAGTATATGTGGACTTACCTCGTCGCTCATAGCAAATCTTCTGTTGTTCGCCGTTGGCCTCCACATGTATGCAACAAAGCACACATCAGCCAAGTAGACTAGGTTTAACCAACCATCAAGTACGAACCACCGCGTTTGCCAATGAGTAGGCGCAAAGTCTGGAGTAGAAGCGCCAGCAAATGTGAAGCTGTTAATGAAGAAGAACCCGAATATGACGATAATGCTTGTCAAGATGCACCACCATAATCGCTTGTACATGGTAGCTTTGACGTGCTGTTTCCGCTCCATGAGGTCTTTCATGGTGAGGTTTAACGAGTTCAGAGTCCAGATGTAAAAGGCCGTGAGTGTAGCGGATAGCGGAAGGATGACAAGCAGGACAATAGGTCCAGCATCATCTGGCCGAACAGTGAGTGAGGCGACGGCGTAGATCACGCCAAAGACGAAGTGTGCCACGGCGAGCCAGCGGACGACCATCATGGTCTTACCAAGGGAAGGCTTGACGACACCATATCCCATGCATACGATAAGAAGCAAAAAGAACGAGAATGAGTTGCGGAAGGCGTTCAGAACAGCAACAATGATCATGAGTGCTTTGGCGCCAACATTGTTACCGTGGCGGTTTTGGTAGTCGTAGTACCCCCAAGTCATGAGCATCTCCAAGACCAAAAAGACCAGGATTGCGGTGATGTAGTTCTGGACGGCAAGAATGTCGTGCCTATTTTGGAAATATAAGAAGCCCCAGAACGTCAAGACGAGAAAGTATACGAGTGTGATGCCGCCATAAAAGGGCAGTTTGGCAATCTGGGCTGCCTGGAGTTCACCGTATGCATTCCGGAAAACCACGACGGCCTCATATTGTAATCGACTATCCTGGGCTGCCGCCGCCACGCAGTAGTATCCCGTTTTTATCGAAACCTTCTTCTCTCCGGTTGAGATGGGGTAGTTGATAGGCTTAGGGTCGTTAAGGTTGATTGCGGCGGTCCGGATGTACATTTGAGAGATATTGTCGACGTCTTCGGCGAGCACCCACTCGCCCTTGTGCGTTTCATTACATAATTTCAGTTTGATAGATTCGTCGTCACAGATGTAATGGCGGTTTTCCTATGCGCAAGTTAGTCAACTTTCTCAAGTATCAGGCTGCGGAGTACCAACGTCGTTCACAGGCAAGTCGGATGGAGCACCCAGAAGCAACGTGTCCTTCCACTCCCACACTACTACGCTGACTATCGGGTTCTCAATGCCCTCGTTCTTCTTTGGGTCTT